GTTTGTTTAACACTCGCTCGAAATATCGTGAAGGAAAATATCGTGAGGAAACCGGTGTTAGATCCAAAATGTCTGCCGTCTGTCAGGCATAGAAGTTAGATGTAATTTTTTAGAAACAACAAATGATGATGAAACTAATATTTTTTTTAATCGGTGCAGGGTGCAGAGTAATATCTCCTCTTTATAACATTACATTCGAATACATATACTCGTAGATATCATTTAGATGTATCAAGTACTTCGAATCTTTTGCTGAGTGGACGTGTGCACGGAGTCATTGCTAAGTTAATTTATTTATTGTCGTTTGGAACTCGGACTTATTAGCTGGTTACTACGGCTCAAATGGTTTACAATTAGCTTTTTGTTTTTGTGCTGTTTTGCTTATTACACCAAGGACAAAAAAAATCGCGAGTGTAGTGCACAGCGGCCCCCCCTCACCACCTCGAGGGAAGGAAACAGAAACTATTTTTTAGCCTGCTTACACCAATAGGCAAGTATAGTCTAGTAACGAGTCAACACGCACATATTTTATAATGAGTGTTTTGCGTTCACCAACACATGCAAGTGGCGGTTCACAACCGGACTTGTCAAAGTTGCGTAGTATGGAAGCGGACTATATAACAAATCGCAAACGAAAACAACCACTTGATCATGAATGCAAGTGTTTAAACGAAATTAAGTCTGTACGTTCCGAATTGTCCCACATAATATCACTCTTAGAGAAAAATAATGAATCAAATGAGCAAATCATGAACAAAATGCAGAACAGTATTGCTGAGGTAAAAAATCAGATTACGGAAATTAGATCATCAAATGAGCAAACAAGAATAATAATTCATGAAAATATTTCGGAAATAAAATCTCAAATAAATGAAATAAAAGGATCTTCATCTAGTATTAACAAAGAACATACTGAAATTAAAAAACAAATGAGTCAATTAGAGAAGAAACTTATTTTAGGAGAAAATAAAATCAATACTTTAGAAACCAGTGTGAATAAAATGAGTCTTACTGAACCCCAGACATCTTCAAAGCTTATCCAACCAATGTTTAGCGAAGAATTGATTCAAGAAGTAAACGAACGAAATAAAAGAAAGAAAAACATCATTATGGTTGGGCTACCAGAACAAAATACCAATAATTTAAGAGAAAATATGCTTAAAGACGAAACCGATATATTTAATATATTCCGAGCACTTACAGAAGATGTTCCGAAACCGATAAAAATTATTAGGTTAGGCAAATATAATCCAACGAAAATTCGTCGAGTTAAGGTATTCTATAACTCTTCAGACACAGTCAAATTTCTTCTTCAAAACAAAAGTAAGCTGCCTTCAACAATACAAATTTTCTCAGACCAAACTCCAGCACAGCAAAAATTCCTAAAAAAACTTAAAAGAAGAATTGCTCCAACGTCAAAGTAATGGCGAAACAGACATAACAATAAAATATAAAAACGGAACACCATTAATAACAAAAACTTCATAAAAAAACTGATAATTAAAGAAGCAATACCGAATGTAAACACATATCAACTGCTCGACAGCTACAACGACTTACAAAAAACTAATTTCAGACTGTCATTCTTTTATCTAAATGCTCGAAGTATTTGCAAACAAGGAAAGTTTGATGAACTACAATGCGTGCTTAAATCGTTCTCGACAACTATACACATAATATTACTAACTGAAACCTGGATCAAAAATGAGAAACAGGCTTGCGAACTAAAACTACCAAATTACACACACTATTACAATTTTCGTACAGATACAATTGGTGGTGGAGTTTCTATATATGTTCATAACAGTCTTGAGCACAACTTGTCAGAATCAATCTACCAGGATGGAAATAATTATCTTTGGGTACAATTAAAAAGATATAAAATAGAAGTAGGTGTCATCTATTACCCTGGTAATACTAACTACAATCAATTCCTTGAAGCATACACTCAACAGCTTCGGAGAAGACGCAGAGCTATAGTTTTTGGAGATTTCAATACAGATTTATTAACTAAAAACACTAAATCTAAGCAGTACATTGAACTTATGAACGAAATTGGATATACAATACTCAATAAAATATCTAAAAAGTATTCCACAAGGGATTCAACAACACGAAAATCTATATTAGATCACGCTACAACGAACCTAATAAGAGATCACTTTCACATGGCTTTAATAGAATCTTCTATGTCAGACCATAAACATATATATGTAGAGTTAAAAACTGTCAAGATTCTGAAGAAAGAAATTATCGAGTACCAAGCGATCGATTACGAAAAATTGGGAAAATTAACAACAACTCTTGGACTTGACGAAGATAATGATGACTACAAGATACTGGAAAATTCTATTATAGATCACGTAAACAACTGTAAAATAATCAAAAAAGAAAATACTTAATGAACCTCAAAAGGATTGGATTAATAATGATTTAATCAGCGAAATAAACCAAAGAAATAAACTATGGATAAAATTAAAAAACATGCGTGACTGTGAAACTACGAAGCAAGAATTCGAAGACTATAAAAACTATGTTTGTAAACGCATTAGGGATACCAAAGATGCCTATTACTTTCAAAAATTCATAAAATTAAAAAATAATCCGAAAAAAAATGTGGAACCTTGTAAATGACCTAGCAAAAAATAAAACAAATACTAGCTGTGGGCCTTCGAAAATTATAATAAATTCTATCGAAATTACTAATAAAAACAATATTTGTGAGGAATTTAACCGATACTTCACTGGAATAGGTAAAATTCTGGCTGACGAAATACCAAAAACCTATCATGATAATTTTTCAAAAGCTTTACCTTCAACTAAACAGTCTACAAACTTGATGTTACTAGAACCATGTAGTAGTGACGAAATTTTAAAAGTAATAAATAATTTGGATACACATTGTAGTGCAGGCCTGGACGGTATTAGCACAAAGTCTATAAAATGTATAAAAGATCATATTGCTAAAAACCTATCTAAATGTTTTAACAAATTATTAGAAATTGGAGAATTCCCAGACTCTCTAAAAATAGCTAAAGTTACTCCCATTTTTAAATCTGGATCTAAAACTAATACTGGAAACTATAGACCAATCTCGGTGCTACCCATAATAAGTAAAATACTTGAAAAGATACTATATAACCGTCTTACAAAGTATCTAACGTCTATAAATTTTTTATTTGAACGACAGTATGGTTTTAGACCAAAAAGTAATACTTTAACTGCAACTATTGACTTAATTACTAAAATTAGGACCAACATAGATAATAAAAACATTACGTTAGGTGTATTTATTGATTTAAAAAAAAGCATTTGATACTGTAAGCCATAAACTATTACTACAAAAGCTTGAATGCATTGGAATCAAAGGCACAGCTCTCAAAATTTTTCAATCATATTTAAAAAATCGATTTCAGGTAGTTAAAATAGATAATACTCAGAGTAAACCATTGCCTATCGAATACGGCGTTCCACAGGGTTCTATTTTGGGTCCATTACTCTTTCTTATTTATATAAATAACTTGCATGAAATTGGATTAAACGGTCACCTTACTTTATATGCAGATGATACGTGTTTATTTTACTTTGGCAGTTCAATCAAAGATATCTTCAGCAGAGCCCAAGAAGACCTTAATCTACTCTTCACTTGGTTTCAATATAATTTACTCACTGTCAACGCGTCGAAAACATGCTACATTATATTTAAATCTAAAAATAAAAAAGTTTTACCTCATGATCCATTAAAAATAAATAACACGGTCATAGAAGAAAAAAGTACAGAAAAATATCTCGGGCTTAGAATGGATAGCGGTTTGACGTGGAATACACAAATTGAGAACACCAGATCTAAGCTCTGTTCACTTATGGGATCACTTCGACACATTGCTCGGTGTATCCCACGTCAGGTACGTTACACCATCTACAACTCGTTGGTCAAGCCACATCTACTTTATTTAATTGAAGTATGGGGCAGCGCCGCTAAAACTAAATTAATAAATATTCAAGTATTACAAAATAAAATTATAAAAATACTGTTCCACTATAATTATCTTGCACCTACCATAAATATATATCGAGACACAAACATAATGAATCTAAAACAACTTTATATTTATCACACATGTATTCTTGTAAAAAAAATTATAACAAGTTCTCTCCATACTAGTTTAGCATTCTCCAAACCGCCACGTGTACGAAGTATGCGTCGAACGAGTTATCTTGCATTACCTAAAGTACGTACGAACTACGGCAAAAAAATGTTTACCTACGAAGGCGCACAGCTGTATAATAAACTACCCACAGATATAAAAAATATTACTTCTATCAATTCATTCAAATCGAAGCTAAGTGAATATGTTAAACAAAATTACTTTTAAATTCATTTCTTATTACTTACTTATTACTTACTTTTAATTCATATTTCTTTGTTTACTTTTATTTTTTAAATTTATTGCATATACGGCTATATTTTATTGTGATTATTTTAAGAACGACTACAATGTTATGTTATCTAGAGTATTATTCTCATGTAAGTGACATTTGTTGTCTTTTTTTGAGAAATAAAGTCTTTAAACCTACTTACATGTTTGATGTTAGTAAATCTCGAAATGTCAAAATAAATTTGCGTTTTTAATATAAGACCTTAAGCCCGTTTAATGGCACGCCATGTTTTTTTTTTTTGGGGCGCTTGGGGTTTTTTTGGGGTGCCTAAAAAAAAAATTTTCTTTTTTTTATCCTTTTTTTTTAGGTTTTTTTTTAGCGGCGGAAAAAAAAAAAAAGGGGTGGGGGGGGGGGGATCCCCCGGGGGGGGGGTATAAGACTTTAAGCCCGTTTTTTGGCGCTTTTTTTTTTTGGGGGGTTTGGGGTTTGTTTTTGGGGTTTAAAATTTTTTTTTTTTTTTTATCCCGGTGTTTGGGGTTTTTTGTGGGGGGCGGGGAAAAAAAGGGGGGGGGGGGGGGGGGGGCGGGGAGGCAAAGGCTTTGAAGGAGCTCGAAAAGAAAATGCAAGAAGAACATGAAGACAAAATGGAGTATTGGGTAAGTTATTTTTAACTAGAGTTTATATTTTTTATTATATTATTTCTAGATTTGTTTGTGTTAACCGTAACAAATAAGTATATATTTGTGCGTCAGTGTTATATGTATTTTTACACATTAACTTTCTTTTCCTACCAAATTATTGTTTCGCAGGGTAGAATGCCAATACCAATTTCTTTTGTTAGAATGCTAATGTGACCCCAAGTTTCCCAAATATTGACGTGATGGGAGAGTTTTACCGGGAGACCCACAGTCTGTGCGGAAATACATTCCCCGAAAATCGAATCGAACCTTGGACCAAAGACACTTTAGGTGGTCTTAGAGTAAACTATATTACTCCCTCATGTCATAACCAATATGTCAGAAGTCATACTTAGCGCAAACTATTGAGTATAGCGGACTGAAATGCCTCTATAATCTTTATATATATAATTCTACTGTACGTGTGTATGTCACTGAACTCTTCTTAATCGGCTGGATCAATTTGAATGATTTTTTTGCGTTTTTATGGCGCCCTGGTTGGTTTAGATTCATAAATCAGCCCGACAGATGGCGCTGCAGTCGGTATCTAGGTTATTTATCTATACAGCAAATAAATAGCTGGTATATATATAAATCTTCTGTGCATGTGTCCGAAATTAAACCCCTAAACGGCTGGACAGATTTTTATGAAATTTTTTGTGTGTGTGGAGACGAGAATGATTTACATTATTCGTTTTTGTTTTGTACGTAATCTTGGGAATTCATATTCGCCAAGTAATTAAGCCAAACTAATTTAGTTTCAACAAGTCATAAACAAATGTATATAAAAAGAACTACAATAATAGTCGGAGTTATACATCCTGATGCAAGAAGAAGAAGAGGCAGCCTTGGCTGCAGCCAGCGAACCCATGCGCAATTATCTCATCAACCATATTTTCCCTACCCTGACGCCTGCCTTACTCGAAGTCGCCAAACTGAGACCTGATGATCCTATTGATTTCTTGGTAAGTGATAGAGAATTAAATAACGTGAGCATGAAAATTTTGATATATTTATCATGTGAAACCTTCCTAAGAAACCTCAAAACGTCTATTTAATCAAAATCAAAATACGTTTATTCAGTTAAGATGCGTCTTAGCGCATTCTTATGTATGTCAAAAACGTTAACAAAATTCATGAAGGAGCAAAAGACTACGCCATAATATGTTCGCAAAACTACCAGGATTCCTTGTTCTGAGAAGAACGGACAAGAAACTCAGTAAGAGACTCTCTTTATATTCATATTATTCAAAGGAAATGTTTATGTGTCATAAACCACAACGTATTGAATCACCAAAGCTAAGGGGTAGCCCCAGTGGCGTAGCTAGGTAACCAAGGGCCCTGGGGCAAATTAAAAAATGGGGCCCACTGCTATGTAAACTGATTAGGTTTTATCAAAAAAAATATTAGAAATATACAAATACTTTGAAAATGCTAAGCTACTTCAGCTCTTTTTTGTGCAGGTCAGTTAATAAAAATATTAAACAGTAACAACATAAATTATAACTTGGTCTAGGTTTGACTAATAAAACGAAATAGAGAAGATTCAAGGGTTTGTTATATATAAAGGTCGGGCCTACCAACTGACAAAATAACAATTATATTTAAAAAAAAATCCTAGCTTTAGTTTTCGCAAAAGTATCAATGATTTCGTTTAAATCCAGGCTTGATGCGGTTTTGTTTTCAATTGCTAACAAATTCGCGTTATACAATGAGCTGTAGCCGAAATATTTAGATTTGACACTATTTATTATATAAATATGAGTGGTAAAATCAAATAAAATTGAACCACTATATTGACCAGTACAAAAAAATTTATTGACATTAGCTTACTTATTCCTGATACACCATTAATTTTTTAACAACACTGCCAACCTACAGAAAGAATTTAGGGGAATTCCCTAGGCATAATTTTTGAATTTCTCAAATGAGTTGTCTTGATTAAAGTGGGGTTGCAACCTGTCATATTTATTTTGAAAATGGGAGAAATTTCCAAGAGTTCAGTTCGATCGAGATTTCTGGTCAGGATTCGAGGGCCCCCTGAGCTTGAGGGCCCCGGGGTACTGCCCCACTTAGCACCTAGGTAGCTACGCTACTGGGTAGCCCCCTTAGCTTTGTTAGTTGAAACAGATTCTGTATTAAAAAAAATTGGTCAATTTACGTTAGTAATTGATACAGTAATTATTATTAATAGGTATATTTATAAAAGTGTCATCTTTGACTGTGATGACGCGAATTCTAGACTCTTGATTGAAAGTTAAAAATATCCAAATAAGTTTGCATGAAATAGAATCACTATTTTCAAGCACGGCAATGATATTTCTTATATTTTAAGCTTAAACTTCAAATATAACCTTTGTATAGTATTTTGTAATTGCCGACAGTATTGTGAACTTTACAAATTGTTTGAAACTATTTCACATTAGTTATCTGTTTGTATATTCATGCGATTGAAATGAAAAGCGCGAGTTATAAACAAAAATCATTTGTAACTCATAATATTTCCATATTTACACACGAAAGCAGAACACACAAATTAGACACATACCACGCAATTAAACTGTTTCGTAACATGTTAGATTTAATAGATTCGTTTGTCGTTTTTACAGGTACATTTATTGAAGTTATACTTCTATAGGCGCGTTATGAAAAATTGATGAGAGTGAAATTTTACGATGCGCGCGCGAGAGACACAAAGTTGTCAGTGTGATTATAGCGTGCGCGAGCGAGATGGGAATAAGACAATCTACAAGTAAAAATAAATAGAATATGCGTGAAATTAGCAGCTATGCCAAGAATTTTGAATGAACATAATGACATTTACCTTTCAAACAAATAAAGGAGGTTTAATTATGTTTTCAAAGAAATTTAGCAATGCTTTTTCACAAAGACCTATTGTTACTTAGTTAAAAGGTTATGAAACATACGTAGTCATTAAATTGAATAAATAATAATAATAATTATTATTAATATTAATTGAATAATGTACTAAATATTAAATATTATTAAATTATTTAATATTTAAAAAAAATAAAGAAAGCCAAAGAAGTATAACTTCTTACGCGCGTACATAAGTACACGCACCCTTTTTTATATTAGTTCTGTATTATAAAATTGCATACAAACACTTAAATCTACTTATTATTTTTAATTCCACAATTGTCAAATTATACTTTAGGGGGTCGTTCAAGTATTACGTAAGCAGATTTACTGTAATTAATCCCCCCCCCCCCTCCTCTTTTTCAGCAAAAGTAAGCAAAGCTCTCAAAAATAATAGTACATAAACGTATTAAACGTAGGAATCCTTGAAAATGCATTTCGTTTTCAAGCATACACAATGTGTGGGTAAGTAGTTACGTAATACTTGAACGGTCCCTAGGTACTAAATAGTAGTTATTCTGAAGTATGCAAATTATAATTTATAGGAAAATTTAATTGACACCTCATTGAAGATGACCTAAATGATTAAGCAATGTTAAATTCGATTTAAATTTACAGTCACGCGGGTTTAATTTTATAGAGATAGTCGATGGTTTAGAATTTATAGTTAAACTAATGTTATACTCTGCTTTTTAATTCCGTAGATTTCTGACATTTCATAAGTGTTGCTACTAAAAAAGTTCTAAACCGAAAAAGGGACAAATTTGACTTATTTGAGGGCAATAAAAAAATGCTACGTATTTTTTATGCTTTACCTACAAAAAGATAAATCTAAATATTTACTTACTCAAGTGACCTAATACAAAAATAACAAATATTTCAATTTCACGAACAATATACCGAATTAACTTTAATTACTTTTTTTTATTCTTTAGCTGGCATCACTGCCTACAAGTCCAGGTTTAGTAAACCTTTAAAAAAAATTAAATGTTGTCTTTACTTGTGCGTTTTATACTGATTGTGATGAAAAGGAACGTAATTACCACTTGCTGTTTAACCACTTTTAATGTGGAGCACCGCACTTAATAAAATGGGTACATTAACTAACAAATAAAATGTATGTATAGACTCAGATGTTCAGACTCGTATTGAAATTGAAAAATGTGCCCGGCCAAAAAGGTTTGCCATTGTCAAAAAATTTTAGCTATCAGAATTCTACGGAATTAAAAATCAGAGTATAATAAGACTTCTTATATATGAAAAACATAGTAACCATGGCAACTAAAACGCTTGTCCTAATTTAATAATCCTATCACATATATTTTTCTCCGTATATTTATAATGCTTATTTCTTTATACAGGCAGAATATTTATTCAAATTGAACCCATCTGGCAAGATGTTAGAGCCAGGTTACAATTTACAAGCGGAGAAGTTACTTGGCAAGATTAAGATCTTGGACGATGCGTTGAAAGATCTAGATATCAACATAGATCCATTACTTCCGCCGGAAGCCGCTGTCGACGATCCAAAACCGAAGAATATAAACAGTATGAGTGCTTTGTAAGAAATTAGAAAATATATCCTTTATTAATATCGAGTCTTTTATTTATTAGTACTACATAATTTTAATTTCGGGTACTAGCATAAATAACAATATGAACACTTTCGCTAGTTGTAGAACAATTTAAAAAATTAAACCCTTATTCATAAAAAATTTACCTTTTTTAACTAAACTAAGATTTTTTTAATCAGTGTAAATAATTCAACAGAGATCAAAGATACTTAAAAATGTGTAATTAGTTTTAATAAGGGAAAAACATGCATTGAGCATTTGTAGATTAGAAAAGTGACGTCATGAAAATATATTCAATAAAGTCAGGCATACTAGATACATGGTTACTAGATGATGGTTAATGGTTGGTGGACTCAGTTTCCGCATTTAGACTCCCTACATACCCTCCTGCGGCACGGTTGCCTGGTGGTGAAGGGTTATGTGGGACTCGCTGCTGTGCATATCCACTAAAACCCCATGGCACCACCAGCAATCGCAGCAATCTTGCCCGCATACAGCCACGCGATCAGCCGTTAAACTCACGGTCCTCTACGGCCACGAATGATGTGGAATGGACTTTGACACAGCAAGGGCCATTCACATCGGCCAATTCGCCCTGTTTTATAAAGCTGGGGGGATAATTCTTGCGTAAGCGCAAAGTTAAATTTATTCTTGAAAGTCCTGGCTAACTAAGCCAGCCTAGCTCCTTCCAGAAGCACAGAAGTCTCGCTCTTCGCAGGCTTCACGGGGCGCCCTAACTGTTCCGAAGATTTCTGTACGTTGGTTAGCCACAGCCACATTCCAGGACTACGTGAGTGACTGCGTCCTCTGCGCTGAAACAGCCTCTGGACCAGAGAAAAATTAATGATGTATTTTTTTGTAATAGGAGGCAAACGGGCAGGAGGCTCATCTGATGTTAAGTGATACCGCTGCCCATGGACACTCGCATTGCCAGAAGGCTCGCAAGTGCGTTGCCGGACTTTCAAGAATTGGTACGCTCTTTTCTTGGAGGTAGTTATAGTGGAAACTCTTTATAACGTCATACGTAGTTACATTTGTTTGGTTTAACACAAACCCCATACATTAATTCATTTATATAAGGCAACAGCCACTCTCTATAACGAAGAAATAATGTCATATTTAGACATCAACAACATACTTAAGTGTAATTGTTTTTATAATCAGCTTATGAAACTATAGACAATGAGGAAGAATTTCAATATGAAAGAAAGACACCTGAGGTCATAATCATCCATCTCGCCTTTGTTATTGTTAATTGCATTAACACGTGTGCCATTATTCTTAGATTACATTGCCTGTAGGAAATTTTGGTCTCAATTACTCCACCGTCACCTATCGTGTATTATCACATATAAACAAACTTTGAAACTGTCAAGATGGCCAGTAAGAGAAAAGCGTCGAAATTTTTGTAGGTATTGGTTAAATATGTTTTTTTATCTTCTCTCCTTATAACGAGAAAAAACCTTCATACAAAAATAAGCTCGGTCCCTTGAAATTCGTTATAAAGAATTAATACTGTAAATTGTATATTTGAGTTATGTTAGTATTAAACGCTTAAATTCAACTTATTTATCCAATATAAATGCGAGTGAGTCGCTGGTCTCTCGCTGAAGATGTCTTTAAATAATTATAAAATCTGTGTTTATACCATTAAAAAAGTTTTAATTAAATTAAATTATGTATAAGAAGTGTTAATAATAATAAATAAATATATCTAAACGATTCTAGAAACTCTGCTCATAAGTTGTACTTTGATAGAGTCGTAATAACAGACAAAACAATACACTACAATAGACCAGATATAACACTTATAGATAAAGTCAATAAAACAGCACATTCAATATATATCGCCACACCCAATACACAACAAGAAACAATAGCTCAAAAATCACGAAATATAATAATAATAAAGTAAGTCATTTTATTTCCATACTGTTCAAAAAATGATATATCAAATGGGTGTTACTTTTGTAATTATACTCTTAGTCTACGTTAGTTATTATTGTTTGTGTTGTGCAGTATGGACAAATAATATAAATAAGTTGGGTAAAGGACTTTACACATGGATCTGTTGTTAGCTTCCTCCATCCAATTTTTCCCAGAAACCTTAATTAAGTCGTCAGCCCATCGCTTTTGTGGTCTTCCCACGATTCTTTTTCCTGAAGGTCCCCTCCAGCGGGTGGCTTTGGCGGTCCATCTTTTATCTGTGCACCTTGCAATATGGCGTGGGTTAGCGCGTCGAAATTTACAAATCTTAAAAATGTTATTAAAAGGATGTGGGCCCTTAGCAAAGTATTAATACTCTATCATTTTGTCCACCACCGGAATAATCCCAAAACAGTTACACTAGTTAATTATCTATCAAGTTATTGGACCCAGCGGCGGCCATAAGGTGTGGCGAACAGGGCAATCGCCTGGGGCATCGCTCTTGCAGGGGCCTCGCGCAACAACCCAAGCAAATTTAAAAAATATCGATTTTTTAACAATTTGTTTTAATTTAAAACTTTTGAATTTGATCCTTAATTACTTATTAAGGTTATAAACATAACGGTAAATTAAAATAAAGTTAGTTAACTAATTCATTCACTCAAAACATAATTGAAAAATTCATTATGTAATAACATGACAAATACCTAAACCAAACAACCAGACCTACTTTCGCATCATATACTTTTCACGAAGGACAAAGGGCTTCGTAAAGACCTGCCGCCAGGAGCCTCGCAATGGGTAAGGCCGCCTCTGATTAGACCTCCGGAAATCCATTAATAACCTGCAAAAAGCAGTAATATTAAATACGGCAAGAATAACCCGCAAATTTCTAGAAGATAAACCCATAAAAAATCAGTGTTCACTTGGCTTAGACCCATGTACAACAGTACCTGGATCATGAGTACCAAGTTCCATTCCAAATGTTGTTAGTATTTACTTACAGCTAAATGTTAGAACTTAATAGTAATATGTTAGTCGCCTGTGGATCTGGCCCCTCTCCCCTCCTCCAACCGCTTCCAGATGTCTTTGCCAATAATCTGCCAGTCGTTATCTGCTTTTCGACAAAATTAAGAATAGTTATAATATTTGTAATCTGTCTTAAAGCCCTATCCCAGCAAGAATTGCTGTGTAAGTGTCTCGGGGTGGACTGCGGTGCGCAGTGGAGAGCTGGAGCACTTTTTCTGAAATGGATTACTTGGCTTGCAATAAAATATATCGTGTAACTTTCAAAATCATGTTCTATATACATTTTCATCATAAAATGAATTCAAAGTGTCAAAAATTGGCTATGTTTGGATTTTTTTTCTATCAAGCGAAGTTACTTAAATCGTGTATCGATCTTTTAAAATGGATACATAAACTACTAAACTCCACCATATATTTTTTCCATTCTCCCTACTTCAAGAAACGATAACGAAAAATGGAAAGAAACAATGTACTTTATTAGAGTTTGGCGACCAGATAGGCCCTTAACTATCGTCATTAGGAAACGAATTATTGCAATCAACAATGGAACTAAATAACCAAATGAGTAAATTATTGTTCATTGAGCAAGTCAATACTGATAATATCAGGTTGCGTGATTTATAAAAGCATGCGACACTGTAACTTATGCCACGCCATTTACAATAATAATTCGTAACAATAGGACATAAAAATTATCGAAATGAAAATTCACCCGTCAAACGCGTTAAGGAAACGAAAAACCTGGTTTCCGGAAAAAGATGAGAATATTTGTTCGTTATTGGGAACGAGTTTACGTCATCAGACAACTGAGTTTTTTGAAAATTCAACTTTGCATGGCGTACGTTACATTGCGGAGAAGGAGCGGCCATTTTGTGAAAAGTAAGTAGATACCTATAATACATAGACACACGAACCTTTGGGTAGCTGTGATTTTTGAGACCAGGATCCGTACGGCCCTCCGCTCCTGTACAGTACTATCCATTGGTCCGTGTATTCAATCTCTTATCGCCTGTCGATTCTTTTTCCTGTCATTAATACACTTAACAGGGTAGATCAATTTTCTTGACTATAGTACATTTTTAATAATTTTTTTTACTAGCTTTAGCTCTTGCTCTTGTGTGTCCTGCAAGAATGTGTAATGTATATGAATGGAAAAGTGTCTAAATAAGGGTTTATGGACCCGTTTAAGTATTACGTAAGCACTATAGGAGGGAAATAAGAAAAACAAAGGCCTTTGATTTTCTTATTTGGTGATGACAACCCACATTTATTATGTTCTATGCTTGAAAACGAAATGCGTTTTCGAGGATTCCTACAAGAAATTAATACGTTTATGTACTATTATTTTTGAGAGTTTTGCTTACTTTTGCTGACAAGAGGAAGGGGGGGGGGGATAAATTGCAGTAAATCTGCTTACGTAATACTTGAACGGTCCCTTAATATGGGCTACTAATGATTTTGCTTAAAACTCGTTTATAATTCGGACGAATTTACAGATTTATGTGGTTTAGTTTCACTGCGATAGGAGCAATAGCAACGTGCATTATAATCGTTAGTTTGTGGGAGAAATTTCAAACAAATCCAACAATTACAGGTAAAATTTAAAATGCATGTTAATTAAATATGTTTAAATAGATTTAGCAGTATGTCTTTGTTATGTTCCTGTAGGTCTGGACACAGATTTTCATAATTGGGATGTACCATTTCCAGCCGTCACTATATGTGATAGGAATGCTGTTGATGATGAATTATTACAAGAATACATTGAAAAGTAAGTATGTTTTTCAACGAAAGATGTACCATAATATACTATAATAGAAAAAATTACGCCTATGAAAGGTTTATTAATATAGAAGGTCTTCAAACTACAAAAAAATAATTTTTTACACGATTAAATAATTACCATATGGCGTATACAGAAGTGTTTCAATGTTGATGATTTTTGAACAATCTACTAAAATATTATCAGTAAATAAATTAAAATATGTGTTAAAATTTGATAAATGTGCCAAGCGCTAGCACTTGAAGAATACAATCACGTAAACTTACGTAATGCAAATGGTTCTACCATAACAATCAATCGAATAACTTTACGTAGAACAAAATGCGTAGAATAAAATTTGTGTTCCTCCAATTAGTTTCTAAATGTTATTAAATTTTTGTATAATATAATATTGTAAAATATATAGGTTTACATAATATAATATTGTAAAATATATAAGTTTACATAAACGATTTACATATTATATAATAGGATTTCTTGAAGAAATCGCTTTAAAACGTATTACGAAATTTATTAAATCAGTATTCCTATTCTATTCATAGCCTTCAAATTTAATACAAAACATCACAATCAACATTGCGAAATAGATATTTATAAATCAACAAATCTTACACGTGCGTTTCTAATTTTAATTTTTTGAATTTGTTTTTCATTTTTATAAATATGCAAAAGGATTAAAGAAATACATATGTCATTAGAACATGGGGATCAGAAACGCCTCCAAATGCCGAAGAGTTTTTGCGATGGCTTTCCACTCTCAGCTATCGGTCTATAGCGACTAGAGCTTTAGAATTCACAAAGGATGAATCTGTAAACACATTAGATCCAAAAGATGCTGTTTTTAATGTATGTATTTTATATTATATTTAAAGCTCACTGTTCACCGTTTTGGCTTGGTACGCAGTGCATTGTTGCAGTGTTTAATCTATGAATATATTTTGGAAGGTATTTTTCTTGTTAATAAGCTAGTTTCAGTAAGCCGAGTACGCTCCATCAGCGCGTTTTGTTACCTTAGTGATTTTTGATAGAGCCAATGTTAGCCAATTTTTAAATAAAAACGACGGGTTGCACTCCGGGACTGCCGGCAGAAGTGTAAACTTGAATATTAACGTTTTGCATGTTTGATATTTTGGAATGGTTAGGGAATAATTTTGCACGAATTGCTTTAATTATCAGTATAAATGTACTATCATTTATGTGGTAGAATACAATATTTATTTATTGCGCTTCGTACACAAACATGATAATTTATATTACATTAAATACGTCGCGCCAGCTGTCTACTCTCCATCCGTCTTACGAATTTTCTATCAGGTCACGTGTCCTGACGCGAGCTTAAATTTTTTTACCCATTCCAAAAAAAGTGTACAACGCCGCTAAAGAAGTTTTCACTTCACTTATGGAGTTTATGAAAATCACTATTGAGGTTACGCGGTAAGCTTAGTAGGCTTTTATGGTCTTGAAAAAGATAAATAAGGATCAGGAACATCAAAGTAAGCTCATATTCAAATGTACTGTCGTATGCTAAAAAAGTAATCCAAGTTCTAGTTTAATTTAACCAGACCTTTCGAACCCATCAATCTATCACAACAAGTGCCTTAAAACCGCTTTTTGAACTAAACATAGTATGGAAACTTGTAGATTGTGCGACACTGTGAAAATATTTTCTACGATTGTGAATGGAAAGGCGACTCTGAGGAATGTTGTGAATTAGTGGCGCCTGTCTTCACTGAAATGGGCTTCTGTTACGCGTTTAATTCGAAACACGCTGAAAAATCCTGGCCATGGTAAGCTATTTAATAAATTAACTGTGATGGTTTTATTCTTTTAATTATAAAGTCCACAAAAAGGAAGAAAGCGACTTTATATACATTACAATCCAGCCTTTACAATAATTTATTTTTTATTATGCTGATTTAAATTTCTACGATGCATAGCTTAAACTACGAGAAAGTTCATGAACAGTCTTAGTGTTCTATAATGTTCGTGTGTCCGAGATACGGCACTTACTCTGATATTTACTACAAAAGGTTTAGTTTTTACTGTCTCGTTCCTGTCGTAACAAAATGCGTAAAGAGTCGAAGTGGTAGCTAAATTTGGCAATGTTTGTGACTCAGAGACAAAGCTGGGGTTGGTTGGCTATTACGCTTTTTATGGCTGTACCAATTCTTGAAAGGCCGGCAACACACTTGCGAGCCTTCTGGCAATGTGAGTGTCCATAAGCAGTGGTATCACTTAACATCAGATGAGCCTGCTGCACGTATGCCTCCTATAACATACAAAAATAAAAATAAACATTTTTTAAGTTTTAAATGTTTGCGGGCTAGTCTTAATACTTAATAAAGAAAGATAAGCAGAGGCCGCGTCTTAGAGAACTTAACTTACTAACTTGAAGAAAACAGTTCTCTTATTCAGATATTTTTCAATAAAAACTTACTTAAGGAAAAATATATTTACAACTTAAATACTTTTTAATTAAAATAGGTAAAAATGATACCGTCAATGCTAAAAATTGACCTCATTCGTAGCCAGATCCTGTATAATGGAGATAAAATTTGCCATTTCTTTGCAGGCAAGCGCAATCCGAACAATTCACCGAAGCTTTCATCCACGAAACGGACGCTAAATGGTCATTTTTGTTTAATTCATTTCGCAACGATACAATAATTGATGTAAGTTATTTAAATTCGTTACCTAACATTTTCTTAATAAAAATAAATCAGTGGCGCTACAACCTTTTTAGGTCTGGGCTTCAGATTTCTGTATTTGTTTCATGATCATTTGTCGATCTAATAGGCAAGTAGGTGTTCAGCCTTCTGTGCCTGAGAGACGCCGTCGACTTTTTGGATCTAAGGCAAGCCTAACGATGTTTTTCTTCACCGTTAGAGCGAATGTTAAATGTGCACACTGCACATAGAAAGAAAGTCCATTGGTGCACAGCTGGGTATCGAACCTACGACCTCAGGGAAGAGAGGCGCACGATGAAGCCACTTGGCCACTGTAAGATATAGTTAATTTTTTTGTAAATACCAAATAAATATTGTAAACAATTACCTACTGTTTAATATTGTGTTATTTTTTTCTACCGCATTTCAGTTATCTGTACCTAATGGTAGCCTATTTTATTAAAAAAATAAATAAAAAATTCCTGACAGCGTTCAAACAGTAAAAGAAACCATAGTAATAATAATAAACTTTAATATTTATTGCCTTGTCATACAGACGCTGGTGAGCAGGAATTTCATAGAGAAGTTTCGATACTCTCCAGTTTTATTATATTACTAAATAATAGACACCGTACAGGTATACATACATTCAACCGAAGAAATGGCAGGCTTGGAACAGACAATCCAACATTCTTGGGACAGACGTGTTGAAAAAGTGTCGTTTTCCGTAAAACATACATACACAACGGAAGACGCGAGGCAGCTTTCGATTCGCCAGCGGCGTTGTATTTTTGCTGATGAACAGAAATTGGAAACGTCACATGTATATACATATACTGCTTGTATGCGCCAATGCAGGATGCAAAGGAGTCGATCATTATGCAATTGTGTTCCCCATTTTTACCCGCCTATCCGTAAGTTTTTTCTTTTTTAATATTATGGCAATAGTTTTGACTTTATTATCAGTAAGTTAACAATTTATTACACTTGAACGCCAGTAGATGGCATTTTACAGACTCCACAGATTACACATTAATCCCATAGATTATAATAGATAAGTTCATGCTTTTAACTTTGTAATCAGTTTTTTTATTCCCCAATACTCCTTATGTTGTAATTGTCTTTAATACACTTCTTTCACGGAATTCTGCTTTATTAAAAAAATTAGGTTCAACCGTTGATTGCTTTCTTTTGTAACACAATTTGTCTGACTTCAGTAAATGGAGTCCTATGTTAAAATAGAGTCTGGCTTATGAAAGAAGATAAAAAAAAATAGTATGGTATACGTTTGATATATTTTGTGGATTAAAATTACTTGATACCTACTTGATTTTATTTTATTATTTTTTACATTGATAGTAACTGTATTTCTATGAAATTAATTAGTCTTTTACAATTGATACTTAAAATGACTAGTATTGCATGGAAAACTAAAACTATATTTATTATAAAACACAACTTTATTCGGAATAATCAAATCCTGCGAAAGAAACGAAATATTCTATCAAATAAAACAAAGTTTAGGCTATTGATACCTGTTAACTATTCGGAAGAAATATATAATAGAAATAAAAATGAGTAATTGCATGAAGTATCAAGACAATAAATCATACTAACCTAAGAAATTCAATGACATTCTGTGTTGCCATTCGAAAGTTTTCAAAAAATTCAATTATCTTCTTTCCTTAGCCAGACTCCATACAGTTATATATTTTTTTCACTTTTGTCATTATTATTTTGCGTACACCAATTAGGTATATGTTATCAAAGCTATGTTAGAATCATGTGTCAGCTCCATTAAATACTTAAATCTTATTTAAACCTTTTTGCGATATATTTATCATTACGTCGAACCATAGTTTGAAAGATTAAATATTCTAACCTTTGTTCGACTATAATATGAAATTCAAATGCTAACCTTTTCGCTCTTACAGAAGGTTATCGCTACTGTACTATTAGAGAATTGGAATGCATAGCAGAACACGCGACAACGATTACCGATGTAACACGATGCAATTGTGAACTCGGGTGCACTCACACTGTCTATGAAGTGGAGAAACTTACAGCGACTGAGTAAGATATTGTAATTGATATTATTCCTTAATTTTCACGTCACATGTATACAAATTAAATAGCAAAATAATCCAAGAATGTATAATAATTATTTTAAGGAATTTATAATTAAGTTTGTTATGGATGAACTGGAAACTCTGACAAAGGTATATTTAACTTTAAAGGGTTTCCCAAATCTTACACATTGTATTGCATATGTACTTAAAATGAATAAACACTTTTTTTATATTTAAGAACACGAGAGTGAATTAATAATATAATAACACTATAAACTATACATTATTACTGCAGTATTCAGAACAATTAAAATCAAATATAAATTTAAAAAAAACATATATATATGCTATAGAGGTTATTACTGTAAAGATACGAAGGTAGTTTGATTTTTATCGACTTATACTTTTTTAAATTTAGAAATTGAGTATATTGAGCAAATACAGTAGTTTTGGTTTATTTATTATAATTTAAAAATAGTGGCTCATATGTAGTACATTGTGTTAAAAACATAAAAGGTAAGTCTATTTGCTGTGCCAAGAGCAGTGTTGGCCTAGTAGTTTCAGCGTGGGACTCTCATACCTGAGGTCGTAGGTTCGATCCCCTGCTGTGCACCAATGGACTTTATTTCTGTGTGCGCATTTAACAATTGCTCGAACGGTGAAGGAAACCGCCATGTCTTAGACCCAAAAAGTCGACGGCGTGCGTCAGGCACTGGAGGCTGATCACCTACTTGCCTATTCGATTTAAAAATGATCGTGAAACAGATTCAGAAATGAGGCCAAGACCTAAAGAAGTTGTAGCGCCACTGATTTATTTTATTTGCAGTGCCAAAACAAATTCGTTAGAAACTGAATTTGTATCTTGGCCCATGGTGCGATATAAGCGAGAAGTGCTGTTCGGTTGGGTCGATTTACTAGGTTCGTATAAACAATTTCCTTTTAGAAAATTGTATAATATTTTAAGAAAAAAGACACTAATTATTCTATACGCTTCACTGTCCTTTGATTTTCTTGGAAAAAAAATAATTTGTACAGAACATAAGCAGAAGGATCGCTAACAAGCGATCTCGTCCAGACGACCCTAGTAAGAAAAAAAACTTAAAAAAGAAACATGATGGGTAAAGTGCATAACCGATTCTTATAAAAAAAATATAGAATCACTAACCTTTATCTAAAATAATACAAAAAAAATAATAAAATAAACTAAAACATAAAAAGCTAATCGCACGGATTCATTTGGCTATTCCACAACTTAATAGCGGAATTCCTACACGAATTGCCTAAGTGTGCGTACAGACTATGTAACATATTATATAACTTGTGTTTTATAACACGTCCACATTATGTAACCTTGTTATTCAACATTATAACATAAAACAATACTGTACACATTAGAATAACAATGCAATATAACAATGTTATTTAACCATTTTAAATAACAAAAGAAAAACAAAAAAACGTAGATGCTGGGTTCGTCCTAGCATACATATCAATAACATGTTATTATAACATGTTTTATAACATTCAGTGTCCACATTATCTGAAACATGTTGTATAGCAATGTTGTATAACATGTTATGTTATATAGTCTGTACGCACCGTAAGAAGGATAAGTTTGAGATGGATTTTCCAAAAAGCACCTATTAGAGGAGCGTAACATATAGTTATAAGGACCTGAGAATTTGAATTCATTTTTATGATAAGAGGGAGTTTTGGGATTGAGAAGAATATTAAAATTTATGCATAGGATTTTTTATATAATCATATTTTTCCCACACAGTTGCCACACAGATCCATTATAATTTTTATGTTTTATATTTTTCTATAAATCTAACGAAGCGTAAATAAATAACTATAAAGTGAAATACCTCTAAAAAATTTATTTATTTTAGTATCGTTCGGTGGGATAGCTGGTTTATTCCTTGGGTTCTCGCTTCTATCGGGCGTAGAATTAATCTATTACTTCACACTACGCGCGTGCTGTGCGCTCGTTCGCGACGCTGACACATTACGCGAAGAGCGTGCGGCGCGGCTGGCTAAGCCCAAACCGCCCCATGATCTCAGCCTAGTCCCATGGTATGTTATGATCTACGAAGTTATTTTAAAAGAATTAAATTATTTATATTTATCAAATTTATTATGATCTTGACAGCAGTTTTACAGTGTTGGCCTAGTGAATTCAGCAAAAAAAAAAAGAAATAAAAAAAAGGGAATTCAGCGTGCGACTACCATACCTGAGGTCGTAGGTTCGATACCCGGCTGTGCACCAATGGACTTTCTTTCTATGTGCGCATTTAACATTTGCTCGAACGGTGAAGGAAAACATCGTAAGGAAACCGACATGTCTTAGTAATAAAGTCGACGGCGTGTCAGGCACTGGAGGCTGATCACCTACTTGCCTATTCGATTTAAAAATGATCATGAAACAGATTCAGAAATCTGAGGTTAAAACCTAAAAAGGTTGTAGCGCCACTGATATATATATTATGTTCTTATTGTATTTAATCATCCCATTAAAATATTTATTATAAATTGTTTCCCCACCATTAATCAACGAATATAACATACATAATATAAATCCTTTTACTCACTTATCTGCAAAAATCATATTAATAATTGTATGTTGTTACTTAAGTTCTTCCTTGTAGGTGGAAACAGCCACCTCCAATTCAAACATCAAAGCCTTTGAAGGTCCAGGTGAGTAGCATCAAGCTCCCGCGGTATTCGCCTCCACCGGGATACACAGAATACTTGCCATAGATTTATATTGCGTGGAGGATGTTGTGCTCTTCCTCGGACTTAGACCACGACCAGTCTGACCAGTGACTGATGGTCCCATTGGCGAACGTCGAGAAGCTAATAAACTTAGCGTTCGGGATAAATTTGTTACCGCGATTCAGTTTTTAGTAGGGATTTGCAGACGCAGATTGTTACTATGTTTGTTAACAACTATTATATTTATATTGCTTAAAATATAATTAGAAGAGATTTACATACTTTATCTACATTGAAATATCTGATTTAGAAAAGTAATTTAGGAACAGCGAACAAATTTTACGAAACTTGTTTTATTGTAAACGTCTAACCTAGTAAGTATAGTCAATTACGGCCTCGAAAGACATATGCAATATGTTTAAAACACATATATACTATAATAATGTATTTAGTATTTCCTACAAACAATATAATTTTAGTTTAACGAAAAAAAATAGCAAACATTTAGCTTGTAATTAATGGTGCACATTAGACAAAATAATAATCAAAAAAATTACAAAAAATATGGAAAGGAAAAAAAGGAACAATGTCCATTTTAAGTGTATAATGTGTGCGGGCTGTGGTAGTAACTGGACCTGGCTCAGCATTATGCTGTGGAGCAGACGTGTTCCACAGCGCTGGCCATTCTGCCAGAGACCACAAAAGTTAGTTTGCGCCTCAGACGCAAAAAAAGAAAAAATAACAATAGTAAAAATTCAGTGTAAGTAATGAAGTCTTGGAAGATTTGTGTGTAAAAGTATATATTAAATAAAATATAAGAATAATTGTTACTAAAACTACTAAAAGAAATAGATAAATATACACATCAAGTGTATCTCTAAATATCTTTCTTGCACTAATTACATCATACTGATAATACAGAGAACAGAATCAAAACCAATTTATTTTCGTCTAATGTACTAAATAACAATTGACTATTTCCCGAATACTCAAAAATATTTTAGCTCTGTATTTTAGCAGGATATTTTACATCACGCTTTTTCCCGAACGGGTAGACAGAGACAACGGATCTACACTTTCTACGGTCTCGATATACCTATCTCGCTTGATCCACTTTCATTCAAGATGCACGCACCTCCTCCAGGAGGTGGATGATTTGGTCCAGGTCTACACAACCCGATTTCACCATCCACTGTTGCCTTCTACCTGTTAACCGCTTCTCATTCATCCGTTGTAACCAAACCATCTAATAGTTCGCGATACGACTGCAGGATTAGTGCGGCCATCGGTTATTTGCTAAAAACCAAATTTGTATGTTTATAATTAGGAGAATGTACGAGTATATCTACCAAGTTGCCTATCAAAATTTGGCCGCTAGTATTTTTAATAATTATTTTGAATAGATTTTTGGGAAATCATTTCGTTCACTTGTTATTTAAATAAAATATCGTCTACATCACGGCAATTTACATTAAGATTTTTAAAAATCACGTGTGCCCACCTGGCCGCACTTCTTCGTAGCCAGTTGTAAACAGGTATGATTTCGATAGATTTATTCGATCATAACGTATAATAACCGAGGAGCGCACTAATCCTGCAGCCGGATCTTAGACCCATTGGCGTAGCTACCAAGGGGCTAGGCGGGGCAGTGCCCCGGGGCTCTCAAGCTCAGGGGGCCCTCGAATCCTCACCAGAAATCTCGATCGTTCGGTGGCAACCCTACTTTAATCAAGTCATTAATTTGAGAAAAAATCAAAAGTTATGCCTAGGGAATTCCTCTAAATTCTTTCTGTACTAGTGCCAGTACTTGTGCGGCACCCAGTGTAACGCGAATTAGAAAGCAATTGAAAACAAAACCACATCAAGCCTGGATTTAAACGAAGTCATTGATACTTTTGCGAAAACTAAAGCTAGGAAAAAATATAATTGTTATTTAGTCAGTTGGTAGGCCCGACCTTTATATAATCAGAGAGAATCTTCTCTATTTTATTTTATTCGCCAAACCTACATCAAGTATTAATTGTAATTTTTGTTGTTACTGTTTAATATTTTTATTACCTGCCCAGCACAAAAGAGCTTAAGTAGCTTAGCATTTTTAAAGTATTTGTAGATTTCATATTTTTATTTGATAAAGCCGGTTGCAGACCGAAAACTAAGCTATGCCAAGGCTAAACTAAGCTATGCCAAGCAAGCTAGGCTAAGCTAAGCTAGAAATAAATAGCGTGCACACCAACAGCTAACCCAAAGCTCAGTCAGTGTTGCATACTATGTGCAAAGGGTGTGCGGGGTAGCGGGAGGGGCTTAGCTTAGCTCGTGTAGCTGCGCATCGGCATACACAACTAACTTAGCTTCGCATATTTTAGTTAGCTCTCATAGCTTAGTTCGCATAGTTTGCGGTCTGCACAGACGTATGGAAAATTGCGTCAGCTATGCGAGCTAAGCTAAACTAACGTAGCTTAGCTCTTGGTCTGCAACGCGTATTAAACCTAATCAGTTTACATAGCAGTGGGGCCCCATTTTTTAATTTGCCCCAGGGCCCTTGGTCACCTAGCTACGCCACTGCAGTTAGACCATAAGTTTTTAATATCCTTGTTATTTATACATATTTTAATTCTGTAGAAAATAAAACTTCAATTTGCTATAACGACTTTTATTCAATACATTTGGTCACATCAAGTGTTTACAGTCAATTCATATTCGACTACATTAAATAAAAAAACAGTCAACAAGTTCCCAATATTCGAGAAATACAACAAGAATTAGGACCACAATCGTGTAATACATTTATAAAACACGTATCCAAGTTTCGATAGACGTGACAAATTCTATGCTTGACTTAGCATTGTCAACTGATTGACCTTTGGACTCTCTTAAGTATAACTTAGTGTTCAACTACTTGATTCACTACTAATGTACCTTACATTGTTAGTATAATTTTCAAGAGAGTTGCAAAAATGTGTGATTAATTGTGGCACGGTATCCGTTCATAATTGAAAATTAATTTAAGAAAAGTTAATGGGTACAAATTGTCCTTTTTTAGATTTTTTAAACGTTTAAGAAATAATTATTTCTGCAGTTTCGAGTAAAAAAATACACATTGGACAAGTTGGACACTAGTTTTTCCTATAAAAGTAATGTAGTATTCAAAATCCACTTTATATATCACTGGGTTACAGAATACAAAATAAAACACGACTTATAAATAAAATTGCCTAAGGATTACTGTATCGTGATTTTCCTTTAACTAATGCACTGGACAAAAGACAAAACACGTTCTTTTTGATTCTGATTGGTCAACAACATGCCTAGACTAATACGCGTTGATGCGTCACGGTCCGTTCGACCAATCACAATCGAACGCAAGGGTTCATCTTTCGTCTTTTGTTTTACATTCTCACTCCTCTGTGATATCTGTGTATCACTATATGACAAAAAGAGACAAAAATATTCTTTTGTTAAATAAATTTGTATGAAAACGTAAATCAGTTGACAAGCCAGCAGGTTATCGAAAATACATTTTATGAATTGCACTATCCTTCAATAAATCACACATCGAAAACAATTCTTACTTTGACTAAATACTAAGTACTAGATCATTAGGAATGAAGCATAGCCTTAAATAATACTAAATTAACTGCATTGCTGAATTTTGGTATGAAACTGCAAAATACTGTTATGGGGAACTGAATTTGCTAAACTAACAATTTATATGTACGTGCATTATACTACGCAATAGTTAAATACAAGAATTCATTTTAAGTTCCGCTACAGAAGTTAATATATTTGTTTATATAAAACAAAACCTAGACTTGTACTCCAAAAGTTTCTTGTTATCTAGAAAAAATTGATTTTCTTGTAATTTATTGTTTCTTCACACACACTTTTGGAATACAAAGCTTGCGATGAAAACTAAATGTAGAACTACGCTTTAATGTACCTTTTACAATATTCAAGCGCTGTTAATGTACACAGGGCCAACCGCATTTAAAGAATTTAATATAATAACTGAAGAATTACGGACTCATTCGAAAACATACTAAAATAATTTTTTGTCTAATTAAAAAACTATCCAACAGACAGCAATAGACTTATTATATGTTTTTTATACGTGAATAAACATTTATTGTTTCATGGTAAAATTGACTGCATTCCAATAAGGACTTTTATCATGAAAATGTTTCTCGAGGATGTATGAATAACACTGGTTTAGCATTCTCATAAATAAGAAATTAACTAGATTAAGTAAATGGGCATTTGTAAACCTCCTCAATTGGGGCTTATATATCGGGCAATGAAAACCTGTCTTTTTTCATCACAGCGTAAATACCATTTGACAGAAAAGACAAAGTGTTTATGAAATGTGCGTTGATAATTTGAATGTTTCGTTAATTCATTCTTACTTTTTAGATACAGATTGTCAAGTAGAAAACGTGGCAAAACGCATGTATTACAAGAAAAACGCTTGTATCAAAAAACCCAAAGAAAGACGGCCTAAAATGAACTTTATCTAAGAGCGAATTGACGACAAAAATAGGCTTTTTGAGAGTAATTTTTTTATAAAATTGTAAATTAAGTGTTATTCACAGTAATCTGTGTAAAACGTGGATTAAAAAAGCAAACATTTCTAAATATTAATTAATTTATATAAAATATATAATTAAAAACTTTGATTTTAATACGTCATTCAGGACTATGACTTAGCATGTTTGTATGTTTTCGTAGTTTAATTTCGTCGGGACTGTTTATGCTGAAAATATAATATATGTGTATTTGTTTAATTTAATGATCGTAACACGTAATAACGTTTACATGTTCAAAGCATGGTGCACCGCCATCTTGCCAAGAGAAGCGTTATGGCGGCTTCTTGAAATTATGAATGTTTAATTTTAAAAAAGCCAATACATAATTAAAAATAACAATTTGTTCTATAATAACTAATAAATAATCTGGTTTTAAAATCTTGACAAATAGCCCATTATAGTACTTTACGATGGTGGAGATACGTCAAAACATATGTGACAGCTCGAACGCATCGTTCCATACAATTCGTTAACTACACGAATACTATTCGAATGATCGTGTAAACGGCGCTCAAGTTTTTTACGTAAATCAATTATTACTATCCTGTTACGTTAGTTATTAATTACGTGATCACGGTACTAAAATGGCAAATAAAATTTAGATTTGGTGATCACTTGATTTTTGTATGACATGTCATACCGACTCAATCAAAATGACTGTCATGCAACTTTGACAGCAGTTATTGTATCTTTGCGATAACAGAAGAAAGAAATAATAATGCATATTTATCTGAAATGTCCAAGGTATTAAGATAGCTTTAGTATGTTCTGTGTTGTCGCAGCCTTAGGCTACACATATTAAAGATTTCTTATCTATTCTCTTTACGAACATGACAGTGTTCTATACCGTATAAGTTATGCGAACCAAAACTGTACATAGATTTAAGTGTATGAAATATTCAGAGCGAGCGGAGTTAAAAGTTATTAAAAGGCCAGATGTGTTCGTTACTTGACAATCAACTTAAGCAAGAATTTTTTACCGAAAATACATAAGCACAATAAGTACTGGTATAATTAAGATAATGAATATCTACAAATAAATAATTCATGAACGGCTTTCCTATATCTACATCTAACGTCAATATAGCGGCCATAGATCAAGTCTGGTTTTGACAGTTGACAATTGTCATTGTTCTAAGTATGTCACAGACTGTTAATATATAATATACGATGCTGTATGGGCCTTTAAGTATATTCTCTAACCTTATAAAAGTATGGACATCTAAATAAATATATTATAGAAAAATAATGTAAGAGAGACAAAAATAGTTTTTAAGGGTAACTTGGGTTTCTTTAAGCTTGGTTAAGTACGTAATATAATTAACTTTGGAGTACCTAAGACATTACAAATACTGGGTGAATTTTGATGCAATTTGCAGAGACAATTGTATATTATTAAAACAGTACTTTATCCTAGAATCCAAACGCTTAATATATATAATTGTTTAAAATATTAAAAAAGTATCTGCCCGTTATCATCGCAGCACAATCTCACTCAAAATTCTACCAAAATTAATCTATCTGTTTAGTAAGTAAAAAACAAACTAAACACCCAAGTGCTTATAATGTTAATAGGTATTTCTATATGGCCCAAAAATGACAACATCGAGGGTAGGAAACAATTTCAACAAAATCCTAATACTAACATTTCAAACTTATTTAAATCGCTATTTATATAAGGATTTTATGCGTATACATATGGCTTCTCGCTCTAACAAAACCAAATGCATTCTTATTGCACCGTTAACTATGCGTCTGTCTCTTTTCATCACAGAGTATACACCATGAGGGAAAGAGACAAAAAAAGGTTTGATTTTATTTATATAAGGAGGGTACAATTAAACTGACCGATGAGAAAGAGCAAGGTCGTGAGAGGCCTTAGCTGAAAAATACGTTAATAGCTATTGTAATAATAGATTTTTGTATGGATCTAGAGCTCTATGGACATATTTGGAACTATACGAACATGCAGTGTTCGAATATTAATATAATTCGCCTAGAATTGTATTCAACAAATCGGTTCACATTTTTTTAAATATAGAACAGGGGGCAAACGCGCAGGAGGTTCACCTGATGTTAAGTGATAATCCGCTGCCTATGGACACTCAATGCCAGAGGGCTCGCGTGTGCATTGCCGGCCTTTTAAGAATTGGTACGCTCTTTTCTTCAAGGACCTTAAGTCGAATTGGTTCAGAAATACTTTAGTGGGCAGGTGGTTCCACATAGTCGTGGTGCGCGACAAAAACTTAAACGCTCAGTTATGGAACGACGACTGCAGGTAACCACTCTGAACACTCTCCATAGTAAACGCGGTAGAAGACGGAAAGAAGATGCGTTAGGGATTGGTCATCGACGATACAAACCGCTCTTCGTTGAATACATTCAGTTCATGTATAATAATAGTTAATAAATAATGTATAGTTTTGTTCCAAATATGCCCACGGATCGCTAAGTTCAATAAAATCTATTACCGTAGCTATTAAGGTTCGTCCGTTAAGCTGTAATGTGTAATTCGCATTTAAATCCATATTTTAAAATACATACTGATATGTCAGCAGACGTGAGAGGGGAATGAGGGGGCCAGAGGGGGCATTCAGCGTCCGCCGAGTTCTCTTCCTTTGTGTTGCAACGCCGGAAGGAGCTGTATATGTTGCTGAAGAGTTCTGGGTCTGAGAATGTGGCCTGGAATATATTTGATTAAGCATTAATTGGGTAGAAGATATCTACTGTAATCCTATAAAGCATAATAAAAGCAAAGCGTATTCGTATAACGCGATTTCCGTATCCCGATGATAATATATAACGCGATGATTTCTCAAGTTATATTTCTGTAGTGTGATAATTGCATACCTTTGCAACTGTTTCAATTGTGTTGTTTATATTTATAAAATAATGTTTGTAGTTATTAATAACTAAATAGCTTGAATAAATTCGTGTTCCTTGTTTTTACGAGAATATCCCTACAACGCGGTCCGGGTTTACCGCGTTATAGGGCGGATTACTGTATTTAGTATAATTCCTTAATGCTTTTAATGTTAAAGATATTTATGAAAAATAAAAAGGTTTCAAATTTCAATCCATACATTCTATGAACTATACCTAGATGAATTTTGTAATAGAGGTGGACTTTGAACCATAATTACTTTTTACAACCTTACGAGTGTCTACTATCTTAAATAAATAAAAAAACATCTAAGGGAGCGTTCAAGTGTTACGTAACGAATTTGGCGGGGGGTGGGGGGGTGTCCTTTTTTTTGTAAAAGTTACGATGCGGGGTGGGGATTGAATTACCCGTTATTGTTGATATTATTTTCGACTTTCCAGTAACTTTTAGGTACAAAGGGTCACGAAACGTTTTACTATTCTTCGGTACAGAAAAACGTTACGGCACGATACATGGGGGGGGGTCAATAATCTCCAAAAACTGCGTGACGCAATACTTCAGCGCTCCCAAAGTGTAAATATCAAGCATACCCGAATCCACTTGAACACACAAAATTTAATCAAAATCGGTCCAGCTGTGATTAATTACACACGCACGGAAGATTTATACACAAATATTTAATAGTTATAAAGTATATTAATTTTTTTACTAGGCTCTTTTTTCTGTATATTCTCTATGGTTTCACAAGACCATAACAATCAATCAAGTCTTTTTATATTTTTGGATAGAATATTTGACAAAACCTACCTCAACACCAACAGCTATGAGCAGATGCAGAACCGGTATGATGAGGATATAGATCCTGAAGTAGTTCTCCTCAATGTGAGACGCCTTCATCACTTCCACCTCGATCCAGTTCGCCAAGCCCTGCCACGGGCAGAACAGGAGAAGGGTGACGAAAAATGCCTGACTCAGTAGTGTTATCACCATGTAATCTGAAATATTAGAAAAAGAATGTTATATGATCGAGTTTGACTGATTTTATTGTTGTTTTTAATTATTGAGATTTTGATTTGTTTAGTTATTATTTAATTGTTTCATAGTTTGGAGTCGTTAACGAATAAAAGTACGAATATTGTTACGACCAATCAGAGCAGAGCAAATGCCTTCTTGACTTTGGACAGTGCGTTAAGGCAAGGCGAAAGCAGGACAGTACTGATTGAGTATCCAGTGGAGCATTGTGGTGATGAGAGGTTAGATCGAGTTGGGTCTAGAAGATAGTGATTAAAGGATCCGTGCCCTAAACCCGCTGCTCGTTATAATTTAAACTAAAGTGTTAGAAGGAATCAATCTGAATCGAAATATTCATTTCGAAAATTTTGTTATACTCTGATTTTTAATTCCGTAGAATTCTGACATTTCAAAAGTGTTGCTACTAAAAAAGTTCTCCACCGAAAAAGGGACAAATTTGACTTATTCAAATAAGCAATAAAAAAAATGCTACGTATTTTTTGTTTTACCTACAAAAAGGTAAATCTAAATATCTAAATATTTACTTGCGTTTTTTACTGTTTGTGACGAAAAGGAACGTAATTACCACTCGCCGTTAACCACTTTTTACGTGGAGCACCGCACTTAATAAAATGGATACATTAACTAACAAATAAAATGTATGTATAGACTCAGATGTTCAGACTCGTTTTGAAATTGAAAAATGTGCCCGGCCAAAATGTTTGCCATCACTGACACGTCAAAAAATGATAGCTGTCAGAATTCTACAGAATTAAAAATCAGAGTATCGTTGTTACTATCATATTCCCCATCAAAAACTTCTAAGTGATGGATAATGATTTTATTGACATGTTTTTGTTAAGATTTTATGGAAACAAGTTGTTTTATATGTGGAAAATAACTTAGACTTTATTTAGTTTCGTAAACGATACATCGGCTAGTAATGTTCAAAGAGTAGAGAGGAGGACACAGACAAACGAAAAACAGACTTGACATAAAAGACAACTCAAAGTCAATGGAGCAAAAAAGGCGCGAAATTTAAATATTACAACGTTTGTCGAGTTTGAAAGGCTTACTCTATTAAGAAAAAAATTCTCAGAAACTCTCAGACCAAAAGGTTCCCACCACTGGTTCAGCCAGCTATAATAGCAAAATTGATTTACAAAATAAGCGAGATATTTTTAAGGGGATTAATATGTAATTTATTTGGTGTTCTTTTTAAATTATTTTTGAAGTAAACTTCTTTAGGCGCATGAGGGTACAATTTTTGAAAAACGTCACGAAGAAAAGGTAGAGAGCGATTGAGACCGGTTGAATTACCTTATAGAAATTCTATCTTAAAAAAAATTGTAATCTAATTTTATGCAAAATAATTTATTGAAATCTCAAATGACGAATTGTAAATTAAAACGCCACGTGTTTTTATTATCAAAGAAATAAATTAAAAAAGGTTAAGTTATAAATTGTATTAATTTTCGACACTTTAATATAAAATGACAATTACATTCATTAAATTCCTAACATATCTTCCTATTTCCCTCCCTCTAAGTCTCGTAAATCTAAAGTTTTAGATTTGTATAAATATGAACAAGAGTTAAAAATTATAGACAGAAGGCTCTTACATGTGTACTTTGTTCGCACGCACTTTTTTTTAAATCACGAGACTTATCGCCAAGTCGACTCTTGTACGTCAGTATGTCGCTTTATTTAACTACCCTCATTTTTTAATACTCACAATTGGCACAAAAAGGTTGTCTAAAGGGCCAGCCTTTAGCGTAGACGCACGCCATTATCAAATATTGGAATGCAGACACGATGAATATAACTGTATTCTCCCAACACAACACCTGCTCTATGTCTGGTCCACCTTTCACTGACTCGAACCTGAAAAAATAAAATCTATTTAATACGAGAATTTGGAGTCTGAATTATTAGGAAAAAATTTAAACTGCTTTAAAAGCTTCCTGTAGAAATAATAAAGACTAACATATCGTCACTGTAGAATGATAACCTAAGTCCAGAGAACCAAACATTACAGGAAACAAAAAAAAATCGGTTGTCTGTAAAGTCGGTTTACTGACGATTATTGAACGTGACAACGTCATAAGAAAATACTGAAAGGTTGCATTTTTCAAAAGAAAATTTTAATTTTATTTGTTTGATAGATATTTTGTATGGAGATAAATGGAAATCACAATTGAATTGATCAAGTTACATTTATTTGTACGCATAAATACAATTACGTCAATTTTTTAACGAACGAACGCTGCCGAACGCGGAGGCCGATTGTGCCTCTTTGCCGCTTGTTCCGCGCTCTCGCTTGCACTTCAAGCCTTAAATGGAACGCCTCAGAGCGAGGTAACGCCCCATGCGTCATGTTTTTTCGTGCGTGCATCGTTTTATAAGACGTTGTCACGTCAAAAAATGTTTCATTTCGCCAATGTTCGTTAAAATATTATTATGTGTTTTTGTTCATAGTTTTAGATGGTAAAAAGGACCTATTAATTAATTACATAAACAAGTCCTTACTTCATGATTATACCAGTTAAATGACATAAGAGTCACAGAATAAAAAATATTTGTTCTTTTGACATACGAGGTTATCAGTCTACAGTGACAATATTTAAAAACCATGATCAATTGTGCTTTTTTTATAAAACAGGCGGAACACTGGCTGAACACTTGGTGTGAAGTGACTGTGTGTGTACTGCCTATAACAATACCAAATGCGTTGCCGTCTTTTAAAAATGATTTTTTTGATGTTTGATTTCGCGTTCTTAATTCAAATATACGAAATTAGATAACCTACTAAACACATACATAGACAATTTAATTATATTATAACTTACAAGTCTTACATAAAATTCTCCTCAAAATATTTGTTTCGGGTAAAAGAAAGGTCAACGATGGCTACTCACCAAGGCTGCGAGAAGAGTAGCATAGTAGCCACTACTTGTACTACTAGCACTAACGTCACTTGTATGAAGAGTGGCAATAGACTGGATAATGCTACTAGAGATACTGCAGGCGATTGCTTTGTAAGTATTGGGCCGGGTCCAGCTCGACCAAGGGATAGAGCCAACAGAGTTGTCAAAACTAGATCGATGTACAGGAATTGGTTATTGCCGAGAATCGAGTAGAACTGAAAAAAAAACAACGTTTTAAACGGATAAAGAACACATTTGCAATATTAATATATACCAACATCGCTGCGATAGCGTTACCATGGCAACAAAACAAAATTTTTTGACAGATAACTATTTGTCAACCGTCAACTTGTTGTGACCATGCTAGCTGACAAGCACTCAAACATATAGAAACGCTTAGGAAGGTTATTTACTAAGCGCTTTTTGAACTTTTGTTCGTGCTATGTAAAGCATAAGCTATCGCGGAATATGCATAAAAGGTGTATTAAGAATATCCATAGCGCTAAATAAATAGCACATCCTATACACACCCAACCTTTTTGTATATATTATGTATTTCATCTTTGGCTATATCATTAGTATAATTGTTTTTGTTATATATAATAAATTATAGCTGTAGAATTACGATAAAATTGTTGTGAAACGAATTACCTACTATTAAAAAACCAAAATTTTGTCTCGTGTGTTGGCACATTATTATTAAAAATGTTCACCTAGTTTATATATCCACATATCACCACTAGAATGCATGGATATCTCAAAAACTACTGCATACATTTTAATGAAACTCGGACTCAATAACAAGAAATTTTTCAACATATACTTAAGAAATTTTGCCCACGATCTTGGAAGCTTTTATCTAATTCCAGCAAACACTTAAGTCAAACTGATAACTTTGTTTTCAAGTTGGTTAAAATATACCTTATTATTTACCTTGTACCTTTTTGTTTCTTATTATAAGTAGTTCTTATATACTTACATTGTACAATATCAGGATAGAGAAGAATTGTATGAGCGAGTACAGAGCCATGTACTTGAATATCGCGAAGGAAGTACTCAAAGCACATCGCCCTTCCAAAGCCAGCAATTTCACGCATGTTATGTTCTGCTCTTGAGATGTGAAAGGGGCCGCAACTATAAAAAATTATTATATAATGTGAGACAATTAATAATAATTTCACCGATTTATGAAATCCCCAAGTACAATATGACTTTAAATTATCACATTATCAGAGCTCATTATGAGTAAACCTATATAATTTTTATAAGCTGATTTTGTTCTGCATTTTGTATGTATTTTTTTTTACAAAACATTTGTTTTCTTGTCTTAGGCTTCTAGACTATCAAGGATGGCTTGTTTTTTTTTATTTACCTGTTATAATGCGTTAGAAAAACAAACCGAATCTCTTTATTTTTATACTTCAAACATTAGCGCGTTAACCAAAGTGATGATTGTTCATTGTTTTTTTATCTTTTTTATATCTTATTACTTTAAATTCAGGTGTCTACTTTTATCCACAACGAAGTTATTAGATCGAAAATAGAATGAACTTTCAAGATAAGGATTTGTTCCAGGAAGAACCCCAAATAAATAAAAATATAACACTTTTGCGAAAAAAAATTTGATACAATATAAATTATTATATGTTTTAACTAAAGTACTGTGTTGACACTATGATGTACACAAAAAAGAGTATTTTTCTGTCTTAAGTATTCGTTAGATACGTAGGGTGGTGTTATGGTAGTGCCACTATCACTTACCAGAGGCATCAGCTTCAGAGAGAGATATCCCAACGTGTGCGGCTTTCAAAGCCCCACAATCGTTAGCTCCATCCCCACACATACCAACTATCAAGCCTTCCCCTTGTAACGCTGTTATTAACTGGGTCTTCTGGTCTGGGCCGAATCGACCGAATATCATTCCTGAAAAGGATTTTTTTCTTAGGTTTAAACAGTCATTAACCTTTTATTTAGTTACGTTACTACCATTTTTCCAAAACATTATTATATTTACACGTAGATATTTGCGTCAACAACCATTTAGAAGTCGCTGTGTGTTTCGCGCTAAATTAATCAAACAAAAGTTTAGGAGTTTAATGAGAGGAAAAAAAATAATTTCAGAAAATTGTTTAAGAACTTCATACATTACTTTTTGTTATAGTTGTGAAGTAAAGGATTTTTTTTGTTCTGTGGTGTGTGAACTTTTGCACCTGAAGGGCTCCACACCTTAGTGGTCTTTATATCCAAAGTTTATTTATGTATAACCATATAAAATTAAAAAAAAAACAAGAAAAAGAAAGAATATAAATATAGATAATATTCTAGGATATGTCGAGGTGGAATGGAACTTGCCCAGTACTAGAATTTTTAAATGCACGATTGTATTCAAATATACCAGGTAAGCCGTTATATATCTTGTGCGCACAGCTGTATAATAAACTACCCACAAATATAAAAATATTACTTCTAATTCATTCCAATCGAAGCTAAGCTCGTCTAACATATTCACTTAGAATATGTTAGACAAAATTACTTTTAAATTCATTTCTTATAATTACTTTAATTCATATTTCTTTGGTTACTTTTATGTTTATTGCATGTACGGCTATCTTTTATTGTGATTATTTTACGAACGACTACAATGTTATGTTAATTTAAAGTATTATTCTCATGTAAGTGAAATTTTTCTTTGTCACAATCATCCGTTCTACAAATCAACTAAGACCTAACCATTCTCTTTCGTATCCTTGTCACGTATTTTATTTTACTTTTTTTTATAGAGCAGGGGGCAAACGAGCATAGGCTCATCTGTTGTTAAATGATACCCATATACACTCAATGGTAGAGGGCTTTCATCGTCGGCCTATTAAGAATTGGTACGCTCTTTTCTTGAAGGACCCTAAGTCGAATTGGTTCGGAAATACTTCAATGAAAAACTGCCTGAGAAAACGCTCAGTTGTGGAACGGCGGACGTCGAGGTGATACGGGTGGAATTTCGTATTTCGCTGCCCACTGAAGTATTTCCCAACCAATTCGACTTAGGGTCCTTCAAGAAAAGAGCGTACCAATTCTTAATAGGCCGGAAACGCACTCGCGAGCCCTCTGAGAGTGTCCATGGGCGGCGGTATCACTTAACATCAGATGAGCCTCCTGCCCGTTTCCCCCTGTTCTATAAAAAAAAACGACTTTCGGTGGGGGAAACCCTGAGAGATACGATCTTCAATTGTTTAAGTGGCCTTTGAGTTCTCCTCCCTCAAAGGCCGGCAACGCACCCACTAAAAATGGATATCCATGGGCGATAAAAAAAATTGTTAAAAATTCGTTACCTTTGCTAAGTACAGTGGGCATGAATTCCGGGTAATGAGTTCTAACAATCGCCCAAGTTTTTCCCTCCATAGCGATCACATAGTCTTCAATGGCTAACTTTGGTGGCCCGCCTTCGCCTACAATCTGCAAAAGGAAAAAAAATACTTACCCAAAAATGTAATTCTAATCGAGTAGAGCTAAACTCTTTTCGCTTATCATATTTTCTATTTTTTTCTTTTGAGAACTGGGAGTAAATGTAAAATTAGAAGCATTTAATATGAATTTCTTTTTTGGTGTTTATAAGTGTACATTGTGTTACCTATATGAATAAACGATTTTGATTTTGACTTGGATATTTTTTGACAAGTTCACCGTACGAGCAAGTGTTAAATGTGCAAATTGTTTGGCTTAAATTTTAAACTCATAAAATCTATAATAAATAATGCTGTATTATTAACAATATATAAATGCACGGCCGAGATTTGAACGCACACTCTAATAATTTTAAATATTATTATAATAAACTAATTCACATTAACATACTTTAACTTAAATAATAATTCACCTATTATCATCAAACGTAAATAAAATGTAACACAAAGATTAGTAAAAACTAAAATTTAACATGGGCTAACAATATAGAACAATAATAGACAAACCTCCATAGACAATGGCGGCCTTTGATCTCCGGTCTGTTGCAGGCCTATTGTTACCAGCACAACTTTTTGTTGCGGTTGCACCATGAAACAACCTCGCGCCACTGACATAGCTGTCATTATATTGTCCCCTAGAATATTATATTTATTTTTAATCCACAAAAAATAACACAATAACTTTTATTATTTATTAGATTTTTTTTATCACCGTAAAAGTTTTTTTTTAGAATAGATAGATTGTAACTTATACAGAAGAAAATACATATGATGTGGTGAAATAAATAAACATTTTTCTTGCTAGTGTGTAATTTCTGTTCTATTATAATAGATATGTATGTGTGTTTAAAGCACGTTGTTTTAAAACTAAAATAAATTCCTAAGACTAATAATTTCGTAGGCTGACATGAATGGTGCTACTAGTATTAAATTAATATGATGTTTAGTTCGTCCAAAATCGGCGTTTCACTAATGAAAACGAATGCAAACTTCCTGGAATTCGGTTTCGAATAGCTTTTGCATTCTGCAGATTCGGCCTCCAGCGACATTTACCTGTTTTCAGACCTCAAGAGAATGCTATCTGGACAGGAATTTTGCACTAATGAAGAGCTAATCGCCGAAACTAAAGCCTATTTTGGTACTATAAAAATGGTATCCAAAAATTGTATCACCGCTATAATCGTTGTATCGCTCTCATATTTATTATATATATAGTATATAATATATATTGAATATATAATATACATTGAATATATAATATACATTGAATAATGAAATCATATTCTATTTAAATAAATATTTATTTTATGTTAGCCTAAGAACTTTTCACCCCACTTATAAGCGTCGATCCCAGAGATAATAGAAAACTTACCAGTAACCATAATCTGCTTCATATTAGCCTCATGAAGCTCCTTAATAATATGGGTTGTTTCCGGCTTCAGGCTATTTTGCATCACCAAAAAACCCAGAAAAGTCATTCCATTCTCTAGAACTTCTCTTTTCACCCTTTGTGCGTCCATCCATTTCATTTTACGGTCGAGCTTCTTATACGCAAGCCCGATTACACGGAAACCGTTTGACGTGTATTCGTTTAATGTGGAATTGAAGTTTTCTGGCAATGTTAGGGGATCGCACATACCGGCAATCTGCAAAAATTGCTAGGTTAATTTTACGCATAGCAATTCAAACCCAAGTATCGTGGGGAACCTGTCCTATGGATTTGAGAAAATCCGGCCCGAAGGACCAATCAGCAAATGTTAGTGCAGTTTGTCAAAATAGTAATAACATACTACAGAGACTCCTGACAAATCAAATCAAAATACGTTTATTCAATTTAGATGCGTCTTAGGGCATGCTTATGAATATCAAAAACGTTTACAAAATTCGCGAAAGAGCAAGACTACGCCATCCGTTCGCAAAACTACCAGGAGGCCTTGTTCTGAGAAGAACGGGCAAGAAACTCAGCAAGTTTTACCCTCCCTCTACATTACAATTATTCAAAGGAAAATGTCATAAACCACAACGTCATTAAAGTTACATAAGTAAAAAAAAACAAAATCTTTTCTGTGATTTACCACATTCACCATTACACACAAATCAAATTATAAGAATATAATTAGAACTATTGCCAAGCGTTTTTATCTTCCAGGTTGTCATTGACTGTGTAGTAACCTTTACACATTAAGGTTTTTTTTATATGTGTTTTGAATCTGTTTAAAGGCAGTTCCAATATTTCACTAGGAATCATGTTATAGCAGCGTATACTTAGGCCCATAAATTAAGTATTTACGTTTAAGTACCTACACTATAGCCTACTAAATAGCCGACTACTCATAATTAATTTGTCTAGGTCTCTTAAGATGCCATTTCAAGAATTATTATGTGTTACTTCTGTATTATATACGTTACAGTCTATTTCTAAAAATGGAGCCTACAAGAAGTACTACTGAACTACTACGCTGTAATATTGAATATTGGTACGGACAGCAATACGATCCCAAAGTTGCGACATCACCGCTAGGGATAATGAGGCCTCTCACATCGAATATCGAAGTGACAGAGTAGGGGCGCTGTGTAACATTGTTAACAATATATATTTATGAAAATATTATGTATGTATACAAAAATAGTTATAAGTTTACTAGAATAGAACATACGCACAATGTTAATACACGGAACAAACGCAGGCTGCAATTTCCCCGTACTAGACTATCTAAAGTTAGTAATTTTTTTTTGGGAAAAGGGATACTTTTCTTTAATAAAAAGGCTCTTTTATCTCTGCCTTTTAATAAATTTAAGAAATGTATTAAAGAAAAGCTGTATAAAAAGGCTTACTATAAAGTTAACGATTATCTAGTTGATAAAAGGGCCTGGGACTAGTGCTAGACAGGCTGCTTCTTATTAATTTGCGATATTTGTTTTAAAATAAGTGTTGTTTGCCATAATCATTTTGTATGATGATTTGCTATTTTAAAAGAGTACCCAGCGATTTTTACGCCGGCTTTTTCTCTCGGCCTACACCCTTCTTCATTGCCGATGAATGACGTGGAATAAGTGATACCTGTATCTTATATTCCATAGTAAATATATTTTATTTTATAATAATAGAAAAACTACAATTTTAAATGGCTAACATTGTATTCTAAAAAAACATTATTGTTGCGACATGTTAGCGGGTGAGTTCAATGGCAACTGTAAAAAAATCAAAATTACGACTTCCAAAAGGTGCGTACAGACTATATAACATAACATGTTATACAACATTGCTATACAACATGTTTCAGATAATGTGGACACTGAATGTTATAAAACATGTTATAATAACATGTTATTGATATGTATGCTAGGACAAACCCAGCATCTACGTTTTTTTGTTTTTCTTTTGTTATTTAAAATGGTTATATAACATTGTTATATTGCATTGTTATTCTAATGTGTACAGTATTGTTTTATGTTATAATGTTGAATAACAAGGTTACATAATGTGGACGTGTTATAAAACACAAGTTATATAATATGTTACATAGTCTGTACGCACCCTTAGGAATAAATGTTTTAATAATTCTTAATTTTAGTTTTTACATCTTATATGAAACGTTAGTTGTTAGAAAAATTATTTACCTTTTCTGGAGCTCCCTTGACATAATAGACCATAGCGGGCTGTCCCAAAATTCTGGCTATCACACCCATAGATTGTTGTGAAGATGAGAAGTGGAATCTTCGCAACAGACCAATCTAAGAATAATTTAATAAATTGTAAGGTTCATCATATTATTTTCCGATATAACTTAAGGTTATTCTTACAAAATATTAAACACTACGGTATAGAATACCAAAACAAGTAAAAAAATCACCCAAATATTGAAACGCAAATCTGATTAACTAAAATCATTAGTACTACAAATATTATAACTAATTTAAATTGCGATAATTATTAAATAAACATACAATATTAAAACATACAAAGTAAATTACATGATAGTACCTACACTATAGTTTTTGGATATCTTTTAACGCCTCCAACGAGAGTATATTATTTTTGAAGAAAGAAGATAGATGAAGAAGCGAGAGGAATAAGAGAGAGAGAGAAAGAAGACGGACGGGGGAAAAGTCCGGAGAGGAAGTTATTACCTCATAAGGCATTTCCATAGTCAAAGGGTCTAAATTTTCCAAATCTTCATTCCTTGTGGACGGCGGTTTAACGATAGCAGGTGTTAGATTATCGTATCTTGTATTCTCTGGTCCGGGCTCCTCCAAGACCTAATAAACGAATTACCGCCATTACTTCAGCATCTTAAATCTAAAATAAACTCTCAATTAAGAATTATTAGTATGGATTATAAAAATATTTTCGTGACATATTCCTTTGTACGAATGAATAATTAGAATTCATTAGAAATTTTCATAGAAAATGATTTCAGATCAACAAGATATTATATGCCTAATTAATTCATAAAATATTTAATAAACATATAATTTTAACTACGCTACGATAACAATACCTTTGTAATAATTTAATATCAGTATCATAAAAGTTTAGTTTCATATCTTAATAATTAACCCTGAAAACTCCGACATCACGTTCAAGACCTTTAATAAATGGTTAATGTATTAAGAATTTAATAGTCCTCTCATCAACAACATAGGAAAGACTTGGAGCAAGGTTGAACCATATAATAATTAACTGCTTTCACTTGAAATGAGGAGAATGCTGGGTCAATAAGTTAAAAAAAAAGTGCGTACAAAGTACACATGACAGAAGTAAAACTTCTTTGGCAAACTAATTTTTAACTCTTGTTCATAGTTATACAAATCTAAAACTTTAGATTCCCGAGACTTAGAGGGAGGGAAAAAGGAAGATAAGTTAGGAATTTAATGAATTTAATTATCATTAAAATATTAAGTGTCAAAAACTAATACAAATAACTTTTTTTTTTTAAATTTATTTCATAATAATTCTAAATTTCTTTAATTTGCTTTAATACTAATATTTTATAAATTCTCTTTACGAAATTTTAATTTTATAAATATAATTTCTATAAGGACGTTCCATAAAAATGTTACCGTCATGCGCCTAAAGAAGTTTCACTTCAAAAACCTTGGCCATTTCAAAGGGTGACGGAGATTTTATTGCCAGTTCTTGTTGTCCGTTCTACGCCTTTAAGGACTGGCAGTAAATGTAAATTTAGAACCAAAATTTTTTAACGGACGTAAGTTTACATGAAGTTACTTGAAAGATTTTGATATTAAATGCGAAGCTCAGGACTGAACGCTATGGATGCTCACTGTGGACGCCCTATGCCCCAGTCTAGTCATAGGGCATTGATAATAATTATATCAATAACATCTATTAAATAAACCCCTATCCATTACAGTATAGTATTTTAAATATTATACAAAACAGAGAAATCAAGCTTTTCTCTCTCATGTGTACTATAGACTAGTAATGCTAATTTTTGAGGGTAGTTCAAGTTAATATAAAAAATACAGTATTTAATTTTTTATAATTTATAGACAAAAAATAATTTACAATAACTTAACTGTCTTTATGTGCATACTATATATTTTATTTCCGTAAGAATACATATTCCCTACAAAAATGCATAACCTTCCATTTTAAGGTCCTAACTTTATTTTGTATATATCTTTTGTCAAATACTGTTGTTAGTGTAGAATTTTGAATCTCAATTTTCTTGAATTAGTTCCCAAGTATGTGTTGTTTTACTTCTTTTCTATATTTTCTTAATGTTATCCTTATGCATATTATTTTTGATAATTCAATGTTGAATTTAAAAAAAAATATATATACATTCGGGACGTGTACAATGTTCGGGAAACAATAAATCTTACAAACGATTTACCCGATTTTGATAAAAGTTGTTCTATTCGATAAGTTGGCTGATTCTAATCTCGCTGACTTTGAGATGTGTGGTAAAACATTTAGTTGCTCAAATATTCATATCAACAATATTATAGTCAAACTCCTCTTAAACCTCCTTTAAGTTGGTTAAAATCCTCATAAACACCAAATTAACATCACTTACCCACTGAGTAAACTCAAACATCTTCAAATCGAGTGGATCTCCCTTCAACTGCCCCTGAATACTTGTCAGAGAATGACAAGAGGCCAAAGCCTGCACCAATGGACTGTTGGTTGGAAGCGAGCTGATGTCATCCACACATCGGCCAAAGACTTCTTCCTCATTAGACGGTATTACTGCGTATAGATCTAAGCCATCCTCTGTGAGTGTTCCAGTCTGGAATATAAAAATAGTATGGTCCTAACAATGTTTCATAGAACATAGAAGCTATGTAGGATTTATGTAGTCTTCATATTCCAACCCGATTAAAAATTCCATATATTTTGGTATGACTTGGTATGACCAAATATTTCGAAAACGAGAAATAAATTTTGAATAGGTAGTATTTGACGGTATAAAAAATTAAAATCTGTATGGGTTTCAAAAGCGTTATGGAGTAAAATAACTTGTAAATAATCATTAATGTATCAAAAATTTTAAAAATATCACAACTAAATCTGATAATAGTATCTTGGTGTTAGTCAGAGACATAATGTCGAAATGAAAAAAAAAACTATTTGCACACTTCAGCTGCATTATTTTGTATGTAACGCATTTATACATATATAGCAATGACATTACTGTCAGCTGTCATTTCCATTATGTCACAGAGCTAATAAGTTAACAACGTCAATGTCAAATCATTTCAAAACCGATACTTGAACTCACTTATGAGCTCTGTGACTATGACAATAGCAGCTGACAGTACTGCCATTGCTGTGACCTATAATTATCTATATTTGAGATCTTTAATATCGTTATTAATTTAGGACGCTTTATTAAATTTGTCACATAAATTATATTTTGAGTTTAAGGCTTCTTAGGTTCTTGGACGTCTTCATTAGGAGACAAACCATTGATAATAGTCATGAACGTTTGTTTTATATATAACAGGGGGCAAACCAAACGGGCAGGCTCATCTGATGTTGTAGTAGTGATACCGCCGCCCATAGACACTCACATTGCCAAAGGGCTCGCAAACGCGTTGCCGGCCTTTAAAACGTCAAACTGCATACATTATAAATACGGAGATCTGAGATAAATATCGTCCGGTGTAATAAGAATTTTCAATGATTTTTGATCATCACGTCACGAATCGAAACAAAAACTACCTCTTTATTCACCATGTACATAAATAAAAACAATTAAATAAATGTAATTAATTAATTAATTAATTGATTATTATTATATTTCAATGTATATTATTTTATTATTATATTTTTAAAATTACAAGTTGTTAACGTAATATTTGAATATGTTCTTTAATATTAATGGTTTATTTTATTATCAAATCAATGTATTAAATACCTAAAAGGAAAAGGTTAGTCTCACCTTATCAAAGCACATGACCTGAAGCTTCCCACAGATAATAATTTTAGGCGGTGACACACAGAATATTTTATTCTTCTTCAATCGCTGCTGACTGTACACGATACCCGCCGTCATAGCAGCAGGCAACGCCGGGGGGACTACTATTGTTATTATATCCAGCGTCCGAAGTATTATTGTACCCAATGAACTCTAAAAAATATGTCTAGATATATTGTAAGGAAAACATATATTTTTGTATATATCTTTTGTCAAATAGCCTTAAACAAATATACTACGCACATCGAATTATTATGTAAGTCACGTGATCAAGACACGCAAGTCTCGGTTTAGCAATATATTTGTCTAAAGCCCCGAAACTATGGCTATTTGGAAGTTTGAGTATTTGTTATTTATAATATCATCTCTATTGATTTGTACGGCGTATTTTACTATTGAGAAATTATTAGTAATATCTTGCTAAATCCTTAAAAAATATACCGTAATGCGTAATTTTAATGTTATATTAAAGTTGATAACACTTGAAATATTAGGTTATTTAAAGCCTACATAGCAATTTTAAACAAATTTATTACAGTTAACGATTAGAGAGTTGACTAAGGAAATCAAAACAGGTTTATTAATAGGCATAGCTGTCATGTCTGCAATTATAATAATAAATCCATCCTCAATTCATAGTATGGGCTAGATAAAGTAACCACCATTTTAAGTGAATTAATTTTATGTTTTGTTACTATTCACTAATAATAATATATGTACATCAAATAACAAGCTGCCAAGAGCACTGACTACGTACCTCCCGGTTACCTGCGTGCACGCACACATACGCGCGAAACATGCAAGACCAGTTTTCTGTAGGTACGTGCGAGAGACGATATACAGATGTCGATGTAAAAAATCGATAAAAACATAATATGCATATGCTACAATAGTATATCTCTGTTAATCAATAATAGCAGTAAAGTAATTGTCAATACCGTGATACATACCAACTTAGCTATTTAAAATATATAAAATATACTAAGTACTCACCCCCCTTTGCATATACAGCCAAATCGAATAAACCATTCCCATAGCGGCGATACAGAACATAAAAATAACGAATTTCACCGCATCTTTGTAGAATTGGAAGTCAAATTGCTTCGGGAACAATATACTTTTGATCATTTCCCCTTTCGCTGTGTAAAATCCAGTGCGCACCACTTTCGCTAATACCTGTAATAAACAGAAATATTCTATAAAAAAGCAGTATAGAAAATTTTAAATTCGTTTGTGGGCTTTTCATAATTGACTCTATGTTCGTTAACGCGTGCAAGTTGGAACGAACATATACGTACATACATACGAAATGTTATGTATATACATTCTATGGGATTACGCGATTGGATTGAATAATTATCTTTATGTATCAAGAGCAAATTAAGCTGTGAAAATATATTTAATGTTAAGTCTGCCATATTTTTAGTGTTAGTTATTGTGAGAAGTGTTGGCGAAGTGACTTGAATGTGCGTCTTTGAGATCCTAGATTCGAAATGGAATTGGAATGGTCCATTGGTGGACAAGTGGTGCTTCTATTTGCACATTGCTGCTTGTACGGTGGAGAAAAGCATCCTCACGCTATCAAGGCATAGCGTAAGATTCCGAAACGGCACTTTCCGATTTGTTGAATGTATGGGACTTATTAGTTTTATAAAAAAATTATTAGTTTTTGATTTATGCGAGTCATAATTCACGCAGTCTCGTTTCTGAATCTGACCCTTAGACTTTAAACTCGATGGCATGTCCGGTACAGAAAGCTGATCACCTACTAGTCTATTAGTAAAAAAAATATCACGGAACATATATATAATTCTGGGGCCACGACCTAAGGTATTTTATATCTTTAATGTTACTTGTTGTAACATTTGTAAGTAACATCATATACCATACCTAAGTATATATATTCCAAACCGAAAACCGTTCAGGTTTCCAGTTTCATATATGCAAAACGATGACCAATTAGACGAAACAGTTTAAATAAGCGACTTCAAAAAAGGTAACGTAAAATCGTAATAACGTAAATATCTCAGTCAATTTAGTGGATTTTTAAAAAGTTATTTTCCCTTAAATAAATTATACAAACAAGTTATACCTGATTATTTCCATAAAATCTCGTTTGTATGACATGTGTGCCTGCGAAGAGGGTGTGTCTCTTGTGATTCTCTGTGGAGTATACTTCAGCGTTTGGACAAGGCGGACCCTTCATTACCGGTACACTTTCGCCTGTAATAAATTCAAAACAAAATATTCATTCCATATGCATTGAACAACGTCTAAATAGTAGCTGTCTCTTGGAGATGCGCTAGGCTATTGTTCCATCATAACGAAATGGCGACGATGAGGCGCTTTGTTATCAACCATAGACAATCAGTCAATAACAATCAAAACTTAAATGTCTATTTGCTCTACAAATAATAAAATTTACATTACACAAACTAGTGTTTAAATTATGATAACAGATTAAGACAATGTTAATTCCACGTTAGTCGAATTGTCGAGATTGAACTACGTATTCGAAGGGATACTCTGTGGCACATTCCAATTTTGGCGCCATTCGTACGTTCTATAGCTTTGTTGGATGAGATCCTATTGAGAAATTTTACCTTAGCGATAATTAAAATTACTCGGATTTAACCCTTCCTTTATTATTAAATCTCCCAAGCATCCTGTCATAATCAAACTATCCTGATACAAACTCACAAAACGCATAAAAATTACGCTGGCCGAACTGAATCACAAATCTACAGAATCTTTAATTCGTATTTTGGCATGACTCAACTACTACAACTAACATCTCTCAGTTACACTCTACATACGCACACACACCCATTCAGACTCATACATTCACGTATACTTAATGTCTTATACGAATTGTGTTTGATTAGTTGTAACCATTATACTACTTTTTCTTATAAAAAAATCGGTGGTCTGTAAAGTCGGTTTACTGACGATAGTTGTTTGATAGATATTTTGTATGAATATAGAGGAGGTAAATGGAAATCACAATTGAATTGAGCCGAACGCGGAGGCCGATTGTGCCTCTTTGTCGCTCATTCCGCGCTCTCGCTTGCACTTCAAGCCTTAAATGGAACGCCTCAGAGCGAGGTAACAGCGCATGCGTCATGTTTTTTCGTGCATGCAGCCGGCTCCATCGAATTATAAGACGTTGTCACGTCAAAAAATTATTTTAAACATGCACCATGGAATAAACAATTTGCGAGACAGAGACAAAAGGTCTTTAGTTAAAGGAGTGCAACAAGGCTGATATATTGGAATTCCAAAAATTACGAGAAACATACCAGTAAGCATGCTCTCATTGACAATACAGGATCCCGTCAGGAGCATAGCATCACAGGGCATGACACACCCATCAGGGGGTAGCACGAGCACGTCACCGGGTACGAGACGACTCGCGTTCACCACACACTCCTCACGTCCCGTACGCGACGGACGTAAAACGCTCACCGTAAATGTGCAGGTTGAACCCGCCATATTGTGGATTTTCACACTCATCTGAAATTTTTGTAAATACATAATTGTGAAGAAGGTTGCTTACAACAATACCGACTACCGTTAGATATTATTTTATATAAATTACTAGTTGGTGCCCGCGAATTTTCTGCGCAGGATTAGTATTTCGAGTAGCTCATATTAGCATGGCGTAGAAAAAAACTACTAAAGATATTTACTATTTAAGATAAACATTTCCAACGAACATTACATATGTGTAACTCTAGCGGTTTTGGCAGCGAACGCCAGATTAGATCGTAGATTTTTTCCTACTTACCTACTTGATATTTTGGACAATTCACACAATATCTTTATAAATTGTAGCTATATTATTGTAAAGTTTCATTATAATCCATTCAGTAGTTTTTACGTTAAAGAGTAACAAACATCCATCCATATCTACAAACTTTTGCGTTTATAATATTAGTAGGATATATGTTTTATAGAGGCGTTACAATATGCTGCAATATTAATTAGGACTCATTAACCCTAAGATTACCTTTTACTTTATTATGATTTTTATTTATATTTTAGTTAGTATATCTTATGTTTTATGTAATTTTATGATTTGTTAATTATTTATGCACTTTGTATTTATTTATATTTTTATATTTCCATACTAGGGATGCCTAGAAGAAATCGCTTGTTAATAAGACCGCCCGATGCGGCTTATTTAACCTGTTTTTTTTATATTATTTATATTTTGTAATAAATATGCTGCACTAGTTGGCGTAGTCGAGCCGAATTCGGTGGTACGGAGACATTATGTTCTAGAATATCATAATGTATCCGTACTATATTAAAAAAAATAATCACAAAATATGTTGCTAAGTGCAAAACTCGAAGACGTTTAGTTTTGTTTATATATATTACATTTTGCATGAATTTGTGTGAATTTTCTTGAACACTTTAATCTTATCTTTGAATCATTTTGAACACTTATAAGTAAGGAAGTAATATTGGATACACCGCTTTAGTAACGCTGATAAAATATGATTGAAGTAAACGAAAAGTTTCTATAACAATTTATATCAAAGTCTCATTTGTGATGTTTTAAGCATTTTTTTTTTATATTGGGTCGGAGAATAATATTACTCAATATTTTAGTCGGCCTAGCTTTGCACTAAATTGTTTAATTAGAAAATAATACCTGTTTGGTTTCGTAGAGGGCCAGCATACAGGATATTGCCGACAGTATGAACACACATGTTGCATACTGGTAGTATTCATCCAAAGACCAGAGAATTATCGAGAATATTTGAAACAAATAGAACGGATTGAACACTTCACTGCAAAATATTGTCCAATACCTTTTCACTTCCACCTCTACCGAATTCTTTCCATAAAGTTTGATTCTGAAAAAAATAATTTAATAATTTAAGACAACAGCTATTTTACAGTGAATCACTCTTTAATAAAAGTAGCAAAGAAGTGGCTAAAGTAACTTTAGCTATATGAATCTTAAAGTTTATTAATAACACTATATAATATATCCCAAAAAAAAAACAACAGGAATTGACTATTTTTCTAAAAGAAAATTAACTAATTCAATTACAACAGACTCGGCAGTGAACATAGAATTATTTTTCTGTTTCACTTATACATACTATATTTTTTTAACTGACAAATCAGTACTCCGTATAGATATATCTTACTCCGTATAGAATACCTATTTGGTTATGTTGACATAATTATTGTCCGATAGACATCTTGATACTTTAAATTGAATTAAAACTATATGATTTTTGTAAATAAATGAAATTATGCGTAGCGAATACAAATTATATAAATAACTACTTCAGTTCTATTTCCGCACAGACTCTTTACAGGACAAGTAATTTATCAGTGGTCAAGATAGCATATAATTTAATGTGTTAATATAACAAAATACCTACAGCTCATTCTGTTGTCTTTTATTTATCCCAGATATATTTTCCATCAATATATTCAATGTTAGTTTTTCGTTCAGTGCCTGTACATTAATAAATGCTCCTTGATCATTCAGCCAGATGTATCGGCTGTGTTGGTATATAAAAAAACGAAGAGAATTGTCTCTATGGTTCAACAGATTCAGGTCTATTATATCCACATTTACTATTGTAAAGGTGCCTTCGCTGTCCATGACTGCAAAAAATGGATATAGTTGATTCAAAGATAAGAGATGACACATTGAGATAAAAGTTACATAATATAGTGAGACTTATTGGAAAAATTATATTTGAAAAACAATTCTTAATCTGGCTTAATAATAATCAGTACAAGTAATGAAATTGTATATTGGAATTAGATAAAGTAGGTAATGACATAACAAACTATCTCTTAAAGAAACACTTAAAAATTTTCTTTTAAATATAACTTTTTAATTATATTGAATGTTTTTAAATTTAAAAAAAAAGCTCTAAAAATGAAAGATGCTTACCACAAATGTGTTCTGCATTTTTCAAGCTGCATTTGATATATTTGTAGCGGTTGTAAGCGGGAGAGTATGCTAGAGCAAAATATGGAAGCCCACAGAGTGATATACATATTGCACGAAAAATTGTTGATCGGAATCTTGAATATTTGTAGCCATATATCCTGATTGCCTGGTCATCAGATCCTTCCAAAATCTGCCAGTGGGCTTCACCTATCACTTCATATTCTTCTGCAATATTAAGGAATCATAAATATATATATGTATATTAAAACATATTATTTTAATTAACAACTATTCATGTTTTCTTGAGGTAAATATAAAGAACAATATTCCGAAAGGAGTTTTATTAAATGTAAGCAGAATTTGGGATGCCAGTTTCCTTAATAATATTAAAAGAAAATACACCATAGTAAGAATTTCCTCAAAAAGATAACCACCAACTTTACAATTTAAAATACATTAACATGTATGTTTTATTTTATTGATGTTACTACAATGTTCCTCCTAACTATATACGCTAATGTATAATTTATAATAAACTAAAGGAATATGTTATTGTTAAACTTTTGTAAGTTAAAATCTAACTAATGGTATAAGTAGAAAAACATATCAACTCAGTGGCCTTGGAAAACTAATTTGAATGCATGTTATAAGAAACATTACTGATAATATATCAAAGAAAATTTGTGTAATATTATTATCTTTTAAATTAATATATTATATTCATCAAAATACAGTACAGTATGTAAGTCATACTTACTTTTAAACAGAAGAGGATTAGTGGTCCCCATAGTTCTTAATATCCTATTTAAAACTAATGGATTTGACCTATATAATATCAAAACACAATCAAGGCTATTATCTTCATAACACAAGCAATTTAAACTATTCATTGATAATTTACGACCTATTGAGTAGTAAGGATATATACATATGATATAAAATACTATAATAAAATGTTATGACTTATTAAATACATCTATTATTATTATTATATATATTAATATATATAAATAATAATAATAGATGTATTTATGAACTTATTTGAGTCTGAGTTAACACTTTGGAAGTTTTAAATTGTTGTCAGTATAAAATATATGCCAGGGTTTCTTGATTTACTAAATAAAATAAGACAATTATTTTTATTACTGTGTAAATGACAAATGGTGGTCAATTTTTTTTACACAAAACTCAGTCTGTTATAAAATAATATATAATTAATACCTACCAACAGGTAATCAGAGACTACAATGCATATGTACATTATAAATAATTAGTAAGTTAATTAATTATTAAGTTTTAATTATGTGGAGCCTGAGATTGTAATAATGTCCATAGAAATATATTTATTACACATGGTATTTTATTAAACCGTCTTAAGAATTGATGATATATTGATTGATTTATTATATATTATTTGCATAATATTTGTACTTTATGATTCATATACCGATATAAAACCCTAAATTAAAAGAGAAGTACTTACCGTTGGTGACGGAGGCATTATTCATGTTTGGCATTCCCGAAAAACTTTGTATTCAAACAAAATTTAAGGCATAATATTAAAATATTGTTTTAATTATTGACCGGTGCTACCTCATGGCAAATACGATAAGGAAATTTATAGTTAAATAAATTCACATTGATCACATCACACCTCGAAGGAATGAAATGAGATGTCAATGATAAATGGCAAGGCATAGAAAATAAAAAGCACGGATTGTCAAGGGCTATGTCAGAATGTAGAACACTGACAAACATCATCTGTCTGTTAAGCATCTGTTAAATTTGCAGTTGCCGTCTGTTAAGAATTTAAATTATTTTTAAATAATTTTGCCGGCTATTAGTTTTGTATTTCCAACAATAACATTAACCATTTTGTATCTTTAGACTCTAGACTAGAGATGTTATGGATATAATTTTTCGGATCTGGATACGGATATGGATATAGGAATAAAATTATATCGGTTTCGGTTCCGGTTACGGATATTTAATTATTTCGGATTATCCGTTAGTTTCGGATAGTTTCGGTTACGGTTATTAGATTGAAGTAAAATATAAACACAAATAGTATGTAATACTTTAGTTTTATATATGGGTTTTATCTAGTTTAGGTTATCAGTTTGTATTATAATCGGTCATATAGGTAAGTATTTATTATAAACCTCCTCAGATTTATCTATTAAAATAAAAGTGCAATAAATTTAATAGATTTACAAAAACATTTAGCTTTATACACTGCACATATTAACTTATAACCTATGTATAACATATTAAATGTTTTCTTTTTAATTCTTTTTTTCGAGTAATGAAACCATTAACAAGAACCTGTCGAAATATGTAGTATTATCTAGATTTTGGACTCCGCCCTTATCCGAAACTATCCGAAAGTTGTGAAACGGATACGGTTACGGTTACGGATATATATTTATTTCGGATATCCGATTGTTTCGGTTACGGTTACGGAGCTCCATAACATCCCTACTCTAGACGTCGACAGTTTAATTTGGTAGCATGAAAACGTGTTACATATTTAAACTAGATGGCAGTGATTCTAATTTTGCACAAACGGAATTTGACAGTAAAAAGCGGATGTTATTGATTTTGGCGCGAATGACGTTAATGGAAATAAAATCCGTAAATGAAGGAATACTGTTTTGAAATATCGTACGTATTTTTGTAGTTTTAATAATAATTGTTTAGTTTTAAACATGTCTAACCGTGGGCTATCAGAAACCAAAACAGAATATTTAGAAATAGGTGAATACAATTTTACCTGGCCAGGAGATAATGGTTCGTTGCATGATTTTGGTGCTATAAATTACACAATGCCATCAGGTAAGCTAAAATTGTATTATTCAATGTAAAATTATATTTACCAAGTATAGGTATATATATAATAGGTCGATAGCATAATAGATGTAAATTTCACGAATCAGATATATTGTGTACGTTCTAGTATGTATTAAAAGGAAGTGTTAAACATAACAATAAATTAAACTTAAACGACGTTGTGGCCAGTAATTAATTTACTAAATTTATTTATTTGGATTTTTTAGGTCCTTGGTTTTGGCCTTGGTGTCCATTATGGAGATTTACACAGCATCCACTATTTCAGGTAAACGAAATAATGTATAAAACTGCTTTTACTAGGCTTCTTAATATAGAGAGGCTTTCTTATAGTTTAGTTAAGTTTAAGTTTATGAACGTTTTGATAATAAAGAAAACTTAATAATTTTTTTCGTCGTAAACTGTTAATTATTTTTAGGTCTCCAATATTCTTTTTGTGGCTTCATATTGCGCTCCAAGTACGAAGAAAGGCCAATTGTGGATGCATTCAATATTAATTTTTGGTAAGTTCGTTAAAAACAAAAGCACATCACCTGTTGATTACAATCATGAACCCTTTTTTAATATAACATTTGGAAACCGGGCAGGAGGCTCACCTGACGTTTAGTGATACCGCGGCCCATGGACACTCACATTGCCAGAAGGCTCGCAAGAATTAGTGCCATACGTGGAATTGGTTCGGATATATTTCAGTGAAGCTGGTTCCACATAGGGTTGGTGTGCGGCAAGAACTGTCTTAAGAAACGCTCAGTTGTGGAGAGATGGATGTGGAGGTGATACGGATGGTATTTTGTGTTCTGTTTTGCCGTCCGATGATGAACCCTGCTATAAAACTGAGTTTTTTTAGTATTATAAATAATGTATAGATATTCCTAAAAAGATGTTTATTAAATAACACATTGCTGAGGTTTTTAGATCATTATTTTTACAGGTTTCATGCTATATTCAGTGTGGGCGTGGCATGTGATTTGCTCACCTGACGCGTTCTCGTGGAATTTTGGGTTTGTCTTTTTGAACCTAGCCCAAGTGGTGTACTTGGTGTATGAAATGAGACCTGTCAAGTTCGACCCGGAATTGGAAGAAGTTTATCACACACTTTTTGAGCCTTTTAAGGTAATTAATACGTATTTAAATCGAGGTAAACTGATTTATTTGACAGATACAAGTTTGAGGGCCCAAATTAAAAAAAAACGTAGCATCTAACCATATTTTTGAAGTTATACTTCTTTTGGCGCGTTACGAAAAAAATATGAGAGTAAATTTTTACGATGCGTGCGCACACCGCCACAAAAAACCGACACCCAGAAGTTTGCTATAGTCAACATTTTAGTTTATTGAATTTATACTTCTTTTGGCGCGTTAGGGAAAAGTGATGAGAGTAAATTTTTACGCTGCGCGCGTACACCGTCACAAAAAACCGACATTTTATTTTCATTTTTAAAACAACGACCTACCGGAATAATGTACAAAATAAAATATTAAGTCAACATAACTTTCTCTCTCATACACGCATATACACAGATACATAAGCACAAACACCAGTACAGACGTGCCCTCCCATAGGCCGCATCTAACTTAGCATCAGGGGGGATTGTATCCAGTTCTGTATAAATGAAATATATTTTACAATATATTTTATAATAAATAATATAACGGCATGCACGAATACAAAATAAAAAAAATGAAAAAATTTAATAGTTAAATATTATGTTATCATAATAATATATGTGTATAATATTTTTATTATAGAACAGGGGGCAAACAGACTGGAGGCTCACCTTATGTTAAGTGATACCGCTGCCCATGGATACTCTTAATGCCAGAGAGCTTGCGAGTGCGTTACCGGTCTTTTAAGACCGGTAACGCACTCGCAAGTTATTATATATTATATTATATTATATATATTAGTACAATCTTTTCTTGATCCTAATTCGAATTGCTTCAGAAATGCTTCAGAGTGTATCCATGGGCGGTATCACTTAACATCAGATGAGCCTATATGTTCTATAAAAAAAATATATTTTTTATACTTCTTAAATATAGGTATCAAGACTTCAATTCAAACGCATGGTGTCCCCGGACTTCGCCCATGTGATGTCTCTTCACGCCGGCGAAGCTTATGCCATGCAGAATCTTACGAAGACTGATAGACTGGGCCTATTGCTGTCTGGAAAGGTGAGAATGCGTTTTTTTTGACGTGACAACGTCTTATAATTCGATGGAGCCGGCTGCACGCACGAAAAAACATGACTCATGCGGCGTTACCTCGCTCTGAGGCGTTACCTCTCTCTGAGGCGTTCCATTTAAAATTGACATAATTGTATTTATGCGTACAAATAAATGTAACTTGATCAATTCAATTGTGATTTCCATTTACCTCCTTATCTATATCCATACAAAATACCTATCAAACAAATAAATTTTTTTTTTTTTTTTGAAAAATGCAACCATCCCATCAATATTTTTTTATGACGTTGTCACGTTCAACTATCGTCAGTAAACCGACTTTACAGACAACCGATTTTTTTATATAATAGGAGGACAAACGAGCTTGCGGGGACAGACCAAAAGGGACAGTCTTCGCAGCCCGTAGACACCTATAATTTTTTTTTAGTATTTTTATGACCAATGACCAAAATTAATAAAAATTTAAAATTCCTTTAAAGACAAATTTGCGCGCCATTGTGTGTGGCAGAATATGCGAACGATTGTACCACCTTACACATTTTTATACCATATTCTTGCAATAAATAAATTATTATTATTATTGTTATAAAAAAAAGAACATTTGTGTGTGCACAAATTAGATACACGCGTTAGAAGTTATCCTTCTATGGCGTAACAAGACAAAGATCTTTTTAAAAATGTTATACCTTATTCTACGTTTGTAGAAAAAAGGTATTTAATATACTGCTCAAAACAATTAGCGGCACAAGATTTTTCTCCTTTCTATTGCTTAAACTAAAATTAGATTTAAATTAACTTGTACGCTATTTTTTACCTTGTTAATTACTACAATTAATAAAAAAATTCAATTTGTATTTTTTTTATTAAAAAAAAATTAAAATGTGCATTGTAGACGAAAAACTAATTGGTGATAAAAAAGGTCCATCAAAGAAATATTCTTATATCGTTTGAATATTCGTCTTTAGTGACTTTCAGTAACGTGTGTGGCCTCCATGAGCCCTAATCACGGCTTGACAACGACGCGGCATGCTTCGTATGATAATCCGAGTATCTTCTTGTGGAATTCGCTCCCATTCTTCAATCAACGCTTCAGTGAGCTGCTGCAGTGTTTGAGGTGCAATCGGACGCTTCCGGATGCGCCTGTCAAGCAAGTCCCAAATGTGTTCAATTGGATTTAGGTCAGGGCTCATGGAAGGCCACTCCATTACACGGATTTCCTGCTGTCGTAAGTAATCTGACGTGATGGCTGCAGTATGCGGCCTGGCATTATCTTGCATTAAAAGAAAATCTGGGCCCATACCATATGCTGCGGGCCAAACATGATCTTCGAGCACATTTTCAATGTAAGTTTGAGCACACAAGCGCCCGGGAACAACGACGAGATCTGTGCGCTCGTCCAAACTAACTCCGCCCCAAACCATTACAGAGCCACATCCAAATTTGTCATATTCCTGGACTGCTGCTGCACTGTATCGCTCGCCTG